CTTTACTGCACAAGTTATATGCTGCAATTTTTTACGCAGGAGTGAATGCAGTGTTGCCAATTGCCTCTCAGTGAAAGTCACCAGATGAACCTTGAAAAGTCAAAAGATGCTGCAGAAAATCTAGAGGTCGCTAAACTCCAGTGAAACCTATGTTATCAGAGTGTGGCCAAATGGATGATTGTTTCCTATTTGTCATTAATAGAAATTGTGGTTGAATTAAAGTATTGTGGGTTTCATATGATTTTTAAAGAATATGAATATTAAATATTCACATTCTATTAAGTATGTGTTTAACAGATATAATAAAATATAATAAAAAATCCTGGTTTTGCAAGTTTGCAAAATAAATTCATTGTATATTACTGTGAAAAGCATAACTTTTTGGGAACGTATGTACCCAAAAGTATATACCCATGTCAGTGCTGGACATCTGCCTTCAGCGCTGTGGTAAGACTTTTATAAATCATTCAGTAATTACAGTGGGTCTTTCTGTCGTGCTCCGCCACTGTCAAGTGCTCTGGGATGCAACCCTGAGGGGCGCTTTATAATTGCAAATTGTTGTTGTTGTTGGGCAGCCTTCCTCTGAGCCTTGTTTCCCTAAAACGGATCATGGAGCTGGGATGCATATCTGGATAAAAAATAAACAAGCTTTGGCCATTGAATGTTCCTTGAGACTCAGTCACTGAGAGGCATCTCTCACAGACAGACCCTTGCTCTGGGATTCACAGTGAAGTTGTGGGGCCAGTTGATGGACAGAGATATGGCCCAATGGGAGAGCAGAATTGTTTGATGGATGAGTGAATGATCCAATGGAAGTGCAGGATTGATTGATGGACAGATGGATGGACAAATGGGAGCTTGGGGTAGGTTGGTGGAAGGCGGATGATACAATGGGGGAGGGCAGGTTGATGGATTGCAAAAAGTCACCAGGATGTCACCAGATTTCATTAAAAGTCATAATTTGTTATTGTCAAAGCAAAGCTTATAAAACCTCCTACAGAACCACTAGATCTATAGATCGTGGAGTCCTGTGGCTCAGTGGTTAGAGCACTCGCTTTGCAAGTGAGAGACCTGAGTTCAATTCCAGGCAGAGAGCGAAACCTTGGGCAAGTTTCCTTACTCCACACAGAGCCTAATAATAATCCCTCCAAAAAAACAAAAATAATAATAAATTGGTCATTTTCAATCCACGACTGTTTGTGGGACATTGCTGTGTGCAATTAGCTGCCGCGTTCGCCCATAAATATACAGTCAATTCACTTTACAGTATATTCTGTGAAGCGTTTTGGGACGTCCTCCCGACGTGAAAAGCGCTATATCAAATGCAAGGATTATTTATTATAGCGCAATACCATTACATAGCTAACATTGGCAGAGTACCACAAGAGCACTGGGTCTATAATGTGGTACTTACTGCCACCTAATGATCAAATGGGGAATGAATTTAATTTCCTTTCCTTGCTCTCCAAGGTACGGCTGTTTATAATAATCTGTGTATATGATATAGCGCCTTTTAACGTGGTCTACACGTTTCAAAGCATTTTTAAGATATACTGTAAAGTGATGTGGATGTGCGTATTTTGTGGATGAATGCTGCAGCCAGCTTACACACAACAGTGTTTCACAAACAGCCATGAAATGAGTGACAAATTTTATTGGGGGAATTGTTGGCCAGGACACCGAGATAAATTCCTTTCTCTTTTTAAATTGTATCATGGAACCTTTAACAACCACCTGAACAGGCAGGTGGGACCTCAATTTAACATTTCTTCCACAGGATGCAACTCTTGACAATGCAGCACACCGCCAACACTGCTTTGGAGTGACTGCATAGACTAGATGGGTTCCAAATCCTGACATGGGGCTTGAACCCACGACATACTCAGAGGCGAAGGTGCTACCAATTGAGCCAGGCTACCACCCATATTTGATGACAGACAACTTAGCTTATCTCATAGCAAGGCATGGAGGAGCATACCAGTCACAGGGAAAGGGGATTCTTCCCAATTGGCTCCAGTTCAGAGCTCCGAGACGATACTCCACATTAAGGACACTATAAATGCAAGTTGTTGTTGTTGTTAAGGCTGGAAGCCAAAGTCCTAATGGGTAGTGTGTTTCTAGCTCACAAGCATTGGGATTCGGAGCTTGACAGACAGTGTACTCAATGGCAAGCTATGTGGTTTTAGCTGGTAAACCCCAGTAGCATTTCAAAGCACTCACTGTGGTCTCCAAACCTTGGCCCACGCCAATCTGTGCAAATAACTTCTGGGATGAGGAGAGCAAGATGCATTCCTCTGGGGAAAGAGTGCAAAATCCCATTCCAGATAAATGGCAATTTCCATGCATTCTAAAGATTGGTGATGGGTTTCTGCATGTGTCAGATACCTTCCCTTGTGAGGTAGGTGTTTGGCTTTTCTCTACTTATGGTAGGAGGAAAGACTCAGATGAATATATTTGTGACTTTAAACTCAGGATGGTAAAGAGAACAGCATTTTCCACTCACTGGCATTCCACTCATTTGACTGTTGTCCTCAAGTGCTGTTAGCAGTCATAGCCTGATATCAGCCAAGTAACCAGAATAGATGCTCACAATTCTGAATTATAATGGAAATTATTCAACATTTTTTTGGTGGTGGGGGGAGGGGTGAATAAATAGCTTTTCAAACCTGATTGCTGCATCAAAATCCTTTGCACCGTTTCTCTAAGGAGCGCAAAATTCCTAAAAATTAGCTGTATGTTCCATTTCAACAAAGAAGTTGACCCCAATTATTGTAACCAGAATCATTTATAGTTCACCGGCTCCCATGTGATCAGGTTTTGAGCCAAAAGGAAGTGTCGTTCTTCAAGGGGTGATGGTTTCATGAAAATGTGTTTGGTAGAAGGATATTTTCGACCGGGGAGAGTGGGTAGTCAGAAAAGTTTTCGGTCACTGTTGTTCCTTATAATAATAATAACAATAATAGTTATCATCATCATTCTTGCATTTGATATAACGCCTTATCTGCACCTTCTTAAAATTAAAAAAAATGTTCTAACAGCTAAGACAAAGTAAAATTTCATTCCTCAGATCCTTAAACAATAGTCTTGAATGCAGTGGGAAGGAAATTCAGGTCAATAATTTGCTCTTTCAGGTGAAGTAAGTAACATTTTGAGGACAGCTTGTTCCTCCAGCAAGTTCTGCAGCAGCACTGCCATTCCAGTGATTTGAGTTCTGAGATAAAAGATGCATGAAGGAGAAAATTACTTGCCTTCGTAGCTGACATCCCAAGGTCCTAAACCTGATAATAATAATCCTTGAATTTGTGCAATCGGCTGCCGTATTTCGCCCACAAAATATACAGTCAATTCACTTGAAGTGCTTTGAGACGTCTTGAAGATGTGATAAGGGGCTATATCAAATGCAAGGATCATTATTATTATTATTACCGCCAGAGGTAACAATCTGCAACCAACAGTAAATATTCAGGCAACAGTAATGTTGCCAGATATTGACTGACCGACTGATCATCGATCACTGATCTATTGATTGATCGATCAGTATTTTTATTACAATTGTATAATTTTCTCTATAAATTTTGCACAGCTCATTTGGTGCACAGGGCTAAGTCAGCCTTGGTCATATAATATATGATGACCACAGAGAGATGGGAATCAATATATCAATGCTAACAGATTAAGACACATTTCAATTAGATATAGCCAAATGTAATAATACCATGAATTGCTTTTATAATAGATTTAATTTATAAAAGCAACTTTCACCTAAGTCAGTAGCAAAATGATTCAAAAGCTTTCTTCTTCACTATGTTATATTTTGTTAAAAATCAAAGCCCATCTCTTTTAAACTATGCATCACATGTTAAATATTAGATGATACCAAGTGGGGACCAACTACTCATATGACTGAACTAGTTATACTTTAAATTAGTTGCGCTTCCATGGTAGCTCAGACAATGAGACATACTTGACTCTGCACCAGCAATGTGATATCCAGCAAACGTTTTCAAGTTACAGTACTTAGAAACGCCTTTATTATAGATGTGTAACTGTACCAAGTCTGATATAGATCAGTACAGATAGTATTGGATGGGACCAAAGCCCAATTCAACCAAAGCCATTCAAGACAATTGTAGGGACCCAATTTGTTGCTGGTTGAGATCAGCTAACTGAGAAAAGACCAAGAATCATAAAATAACGAGAGGTTTGGATGAAGAAAACCCTTTGGTCTATTTTATCTCACCCTACTATATTCTCATTACACCATCAAATTATTTCTTAAAGTGAATGTAGTGTGCTGGTCCACCACTCTCATGGTATCCCATTCCAGCTGTTATTTATCCTCTGTGTCAACACTTACTTGGAAACACTGACATAGAGACACTCACATAGAACCACTCACATGGAGACACTCACATAGACACAGTCACATAGACAGTAACATAGACACTCACATCAAGACTTGACTATGCAAACTCACTGCTTGTTGGCCTCCCCAACTCCTCCCTCCACAGGCTGCAGATCTGCAGCCCATGTCCTCTCCTGCACTAGCTTCCGTGACCCTATCACCCCCATCCTCACCCAACTCTGTTGGATTCCCATCACACAGAGAATACAGTTCAAGATCCCGGTCCTCACCTTCAAAGCTCTCCACGGTCTTGCTCCCCCCATCTCTCCGACCACCTAAACTCTACCATCCTGCTCGCTCCCTCCGCTCAGCGGGCTCTGGCCTGCTTTATGTCCCCTACCTTGCTTGTCCCACTATTGGTGGGCAGGCCTTCTGCCTCTCTGCACCCATCCTCTGGAACTCCATCCTGTAGTCCCTCCATCTCGCTCTCTCCCTCGCCACCTTCAAGACCCACCAAAAGACCCTCCTCTTCAACAGTGATTTTGTTCTCCCTGCTTCCTCCGCTGTCCTCCACACTCACCCACCCCGACCCATAGGTTGGGTCCATAACTCTGTCTGTCCAGTGCCTTGGGACGTACGTCCTCCTGATGTGAAAGGCGCTACACAAATGTAATTTTGTTGTTGTTATTTCCTGGTGTCTATCCTGCAATTGCCTTTGACCACCCTGAACCTGTGACTTTTGTTTTGTTGCCGCCTGTCTGAAAATATTGCTCTGGGTTTACTTACGCAATCCCATTTAGCATTTTATACGTATCTCCATTGAGAGCCTATTGTTTTTGATAGCTCATCCTGCTAACCCCGGGGATATCCTGTTACACTTCTGTGCACTCCTGTCTAAGGCTGAGCAGCCACCTTGTGTCTCTGAGACCTGAATTACTCTCAATACCCCAGAGCATTGTATAGCTGGCTGCTTTACACTGCTTGAACATGGTAAGTGATGAGTTAGTTAACACTCCTAGTTTTTTTAGCTTCCTCTTTCTATCCTGTCCACGTGTCTCTTATTTTTGCTTCCTATATTCAGCAAACGTTGGATTTTTCTGAGATCAGCGTTTTGGGATTTCACACTGCTTCATATAACGACTTTGATACTTACATTTATTTAAATATCTGAAACATACTCGTCAATGGAACTAACTGCATAAAGACACACAACGATTTTAACAAGTATTCTTCATTTGATACCATGCTGACTGTAGCTAGTTATGTTATGTCTGACCTGTGAAATATGGTCAATGCCATCAGAACAAGATTACACTATGAATTTTATATCAAACTTGAGAAATTTTTAACTTATGTCCTTTGCCTCTTGATCTGATTTTTGAGTGTTTTGGTGGATAGACTCTTTGTGCTTCCATTCTCTCCTCAAGCACCACTTCTGTGTCATCCAACACTTTCAGCCTTGGTATTTGACTGATCACATAGTGCCTGTAAAAGGGTGGAATAACAACATTCAAATTCACACTTGTTCTCTCCTCTCCGACACTTAGGGCAATTCACTCAGGATTCCTCACACTCACACTCCCTCCTCTCACACTCAGGACCACTCACCCTCACATTCCTGCCTTTCACACTGAGGACTGCTCACACTCCCTTTCTCTCCTCTCACACTCAGAACTGCTCACTCTCTCTCCTCTCACACTCAGGACTGCTCACACTCACAATCTCTCCTCTCACACTCAGGACAGCTCACATTCACTCTCCTCTCACACTCAGAGCTGCTCACACTCAGGACTGCTCACACTCACTCTCTCTCCTCTCACACTCAGAGCTGCTCACACTCAGGACAGTTCACACTCACTCTCTCTCCTCACACACTCAGAGCTGCTCACACTCAGGACTGCTCACACTTACTCTCTCCCCTCTCATACTCATAACTGCTCACACTCTCCTCACACTCAGAGCTGCTCACACTCACTCTCCTCTCACACTCAGAGCTGCTCACATTCTCTCTCTCTCCTCTCACTTAGGACTGCTCACACTCACTCTCTCCTCTCCTGCTCAGGACTGCTCACCCTCTCTCTCTCTCCTCTCACACTCAGGACTGCTCACACTCACAGTATTTCCTGTTAATTTGCATTAATTACAGCTTCAACCCATTACTCAGTCATGCAAATGCCAATAAATTCATCAATACTTTAGCACTTACCTATAATCAATGTATTCTGGTAAACTCCCTCCGTTAAAATAACTTGGTGCAGCCTCGTTGTTCATCATACTTAGAATCCTACAGGCAAGTTTAATATATGAAGCGTCAATAAATATCTACTGACAGGGCTGTAAGCCTCATCACCCCTCAATTTACTGCAAGAACCAAGGAGTGGAAATAAAACCAAATTGAATGGAATATTCAAGGCACTGTGAAAGGAACTTCTCTGAGCCATGCTATGGTTTCTAGCGCTTCCTCGGGTGAAATAATACATTGAAACTTATCTAGATCTCCTCTACTTTTTAACTATCCTATGGTTGTCTCATATATTGGGATGTTTGCAATGATCCTTTGAAATAAATTGGATGTCACCAATATAGAGGATAAGCCAGCACTCCAGTGTTGTCTACCATCTCAGCTGACAGGTGGCAGCTTGGTTCAATTGGTAACATTCTTGCCTCTGAGTCAGAAGATTGTGAGTTCAAGCCCTTAATTGGGACTTAAAACTCGCATAGTCTAGGTTTAGGCTGACACACCAATGCTTTGGTGTGTTGCAATGTTAATTGCTGTCTTGACAAGGTGAAACATTAAACCAAGGTCCCGTTTACCTGTTCAGGTGGATGTTAAAGATCCCATGGTGCTATTTGAAAAGAGAAGGAAATTTCTCTAGTGTCCTGGCCAACAATCCCCAGATAAAATTGGTCATTAACTTTATAGCTGTTTGTACGATATTGCTATGTGAAAATTAATACTCCTTGCATTTGTTATAGTGCCTTCCATGTCATGAGGACATCCCAAAATGCTTCACAGGATTTATTATGAAGTGGAGAGACTGTATATTTGTAGGCTAACACAGCAGTTGAATTAAGCACAACAATATCCCACAAATAGCCATGAAACAAATTACCAATATTATTTGGGGGGGAACAATTATTGGTAAGGACACTGGAAGAAATTTGCTTCTCTTTTTGAATTATGCCAAGGGATTTTTAACGTCCACTTGAAAAGGCAGACAAGACCTCAAATTAACATTTCATCTGAAGGACAGCACCTCTGACAAATATTGTAAATAGTTTATTGTTTTATTAATGCATTTTTACACTAACTTGCCCTTAGTTATTTCTTTGTAATTCTTGAATAGACACATTTCTTTGAAGTTCTTTTGAGTCTCCCAGAAATAGAATATACTAGTTTACCTACAAAATACACAGTAAACCCATGAAGTGCTTTAAAAGTCTCCCTGATGAAAAAGGTGCTATATTGAATGCAAGGATTATTGGGAAAATCATGTATTTTTTATAATAAAGAAGGTATAAAGAAGTCGTTCTAAACATGTGCGAAACTTAGACATTTTAGTGCTTTTCACAGAGCCATCATACCCTCAATAAAGAAACATAAAATCTTGCAGAAGTTTAAGGAGGACAATTATTGCTCGTTTTCCCATTAAGTTCCCAAATTATCTCACCTGATTTGTGGGAAGTTTCTAGCTATTTCTGCAATGAATATAGCCAGGTTGGTAATTCTGTTTTTGTTTATCCATAAGGTGGTGACATTCGGCATGTAGGGAAACTTCACGTGAGAGGAGAAATTGTTTCCATCCAAAATCAACGTGGTTAGTTTCCAGAGATCCCCCAGTTGTGAGAGGTTTCTGCAGTGTTGGAATTGAGAAAGACACAAGTGTAGTATCCGTGGACAGATTTAGCAAAACGAATGATACAATTGACCAGGATAATGTGGACAATACTGACTGAAGGCTTGCAATTCTAAAATGGCTTAAATATCAATGGTGATGGGTATTATAATCCTTGCATTTTGGGAATAATAATAATTCTTGCATTTGGTATAATAGCTTATCACGTCATCAAGACGTCTCAAAGCACTTCACAGGATAGACAGCAATGTCCCACAAACAGCCATAAAGAATGAACAATCTTTTATTGGGGGGATTGTTGCCTCGGAAACCAGGAGAAACTCCTTCTCTTTTCGAGCAGTGTCGTGGGATCTTTAATATGCAGCTGAACAGGCAGACAGGATCTCAACACCTCTGACAATTCAACACACACCTGACTCTGCACTGGAGGGTCATCTTAGATTACCAGCAGGTCAGCTCCTTGGGATGTCCTCCCGACGTGAAAGGACTATATAAATGTAATTTTGCTGTTGTTAAATATAGGCCTGAGAATTTGTCAATATCTGCTCCCTATCCTTACTCTAATGTAAAACATGAAACATTCATTATCACATTTGGTTAGCAGACCAATACTATTTATATTAAAACATCTGATAAACACAGGGCAGATTAATAAAGAAAATAATCAACTCTAGATGTTGTGGATGATAATAATATTAATAATATACTGTAAAGTGAATTGACTGTATAATTGTGGGCAAAACGCGGCAGCCAATTCCATACAACATTGTCCCATGAACAGTCGTCGATTGAAGTGACCAATTTATTATTTGTTTTCTTGAGGCATTATTATCATATGCTATTATGATTTGGGTGGACCATACATGCATAATTCACTTGATTTTGTAATCTGCAAATGTAACTTGTACCATCCATGAAAAATGAAATGCACCTCTAATAGGTAAATGTTTGGATGATTTCCCCACCCCATTCCCTCTTTTTTTGGACTTATCAAGGCAGTAGATATCAGTGCTGGGAAGTGGAACCCTTTGGCAAGAGCCGAGGTTTAGGAACCCTAGATTGTGCTTTGGAATACTGCTGGAGTCTAACCAGATTAAAAAATTCATTATTTGCAATCGAGAGCACTATTTGGCAAGATTCCCGCCACTTGTCCAGCTAGAATCATCCTACTTGTTAATTTCTTTGGTTTGCAGGGTAAACAGTAGCCGAGTGTGAAGCATCCCCTCCCTCCAATAATTGATTCTGTTCAAATATTTTTTACATGGGATGCTTACATGGAGTCCCTCATTGTAGTGCAAGTGAGAGGACCCAGATTTGATTCCTGGACTTATTCCACACACCTCTGTTTACCCACAGTAAGTAGGAACCCGGTTGTTAGACAATTGGCGGGGATAATAATCCCTCCAAAAATAAATATGATCACTCAATCCACGAATGTTTGTGGGACACTGCTATGAGCAATTGGCTGCGGCGTTTCTCCCACAAAATACAGTCAACATATTCTGTGAAGTGCTTTGAGACGTCTCAAAGACGTGATAAGGCGTGATATCAAATGCAAGGATTATTAGTATTATTATTATTACAGCTCCCAGAGTGACTAATTTTTTTTAGTATAGGAGGCTGTCGCAGAATCATAGAATATTACAACAGAAGGAGGTCATTCAGTCATGTTGCTAATAGTTTCTTTACAGTTAACTTTCAAATCTTTGTAGATCACTGTGTGTTTGTACAGATAAACAGGAGATTTGTGAATTATCTTGTATGCTAGTTACTCAGCTTTACTCACTCAGTGCAGCAAATTTGCTGATGGGGCTTTGAGCTTTTCTACTGAGTGTGCTACATTTAGACTTGGCAATAAGCTTGGAAATAACTTAATTTTTAACTTATAAATAAAATTATACTATAAATGTCAAATCAAATCATACAAATATAATCGAACTGTAGTTATGCATAAGCAGAAAATGTGTTCAATTTATCAGACTCAAAGTGAATTCCATTTGGCATTTTCTCCAGGAAATCAGGAGATCTGGACTTCTGTACGTGGAGTCTCAAATGAGAATCCTCATCCTTTTTTAGCCGGCCGGGTGACTGACACGTGCGGAAGCCCGTGTTTGAGAGAATCCAAACCAAGCTGAGAATTCCATGCATCCCACCTACACATGGAAATCCCAGAGATAGATTGTTTTAATGGAATGCACACTCTCTCCTTAGTGGATTCATCCTACTTAGCTAATTCCTGAAAGTATTAGGCGCAGGATGGCAATAGCCATAGGGAAAAGGTAGGCTTGAACAATTATGCCTTGGGAAATGATTATTTTGCATTGCTGGGAGCCAGAGTGTGGGGTGGGAGAGGCCGGAGGCTGTTGGTATGGAGAGAAGGAGAACAGGGTTCAAATGTGGAGATGGCTCATTCTCCTCTTTGATAACCTTTCGAGTTCAGAGAATATCTAAGGCAGAGTGATGACAACAATAGGGTGCCTATGGGTGGCCTAAATGGCCTTTTCTTGATCTATGCTTTTTTTATGACAGAGCACTTAGATGTTAGTCTTGCCTTTTGTTCAATGTGGGTTGCAATGCAGACAGCATTAGTGGCACCGAGGCAAAACATACCCTGGTTTGATTAGTAGCAATCTCACTTCTTAGTTGAGTTCAAGCCCCACAACATTGGGTCATTGAACTCATGGTCTACACCAGGGTGGTCCTACCTTTTGGCTGCTGAGGGCCGGATGCCCTATTTGAAAAACATCCGTGGGGCTGGATAAACAATATTTTTGTGTTTCCCTTCCAGATACATCACATAACATTTATGGGTTATGGAGGGAGAAGGTCAGCCAGATGAAATTGGGGTGGTGGGGTTGAACCACCCTGGTCTAGACTAACAATCCAGTGCAGTGCTGGGGTTTGCTTTGCATTGTCGGTGATGCCATTAGATGAGACGTCAAATCGAGGTCCTGTCTACCTGTTCAGGTGGATGTTACAGACTGGATGACAATACTCAAAAAGAGAAGAGAGTTTCTCCCAGCATTCTGGCTAACAATCCCCGGAGAAAAAAAATTGATCATTGACTTCATGACTGTTTGTGGGACATTGTGACTGTGGGATATTGTAATGTGAGGGGTAATTGTTACCCCTCTCCTTACCTCCCAGCTCCACCTCCTTGACCCTCTACTCACTGACATCGTAAATGCCATTCTGTCCATCTGCGACCAGGGCTCCCTCTGCCTCCTTGTCCTCCTTGACCTCTCTACTGCTTTCGACACCGTCGACCACTCTATCCTCATCCACTGCCTCTCCTCTCACCTCAACTTCCATGGCGCTGTCCTTGATTGGTTCAGATCATACTCTCACACCACTTGCACTTCACCGCCTCAAACGGTTTCTCCTCTAGCCCCTGGACCGTTTAATGTGGCATTCCTCAGGGCTCTGTCCTTAGTCCCCTCCTCTTCAACATCTATATGCTCCCTCTTGGTGACATCATCCACAGTCATGGGGTCAACTTCCACATGTATGCGGATGACACCCAACTCTACCTCTCTACCTCCACCCTTGACTCCAGGATCACTGCTGTCCTGACAGAATGTCTGTCAGACATCAAGTCCTGGATGAGAGCCAACTTTCTTCAGTTGAACGTCAACAAGACCGAGGCTCTCCTGATTGGCTCCCGTCAGTGCCTCTTCACCTCAGGCACTGACAGCATTGCCATCCATGGTTGCACACTGCACCTTGCTAAGCCAGTCCAGAACCTTGGGGTCTTGTTTGACCCTCAACTATCCTTTCTACCCCACATCTGCACCATGACCCGCTCTGCCTTCCCCAACCTCCGCAACAACGCCTGGCTCTACCACTGTTTCACAACACAGGCTGTCGAAACCCTCATCCATGCCTTCATTACATTGAGGCTCGACTATGCAAACTCATTGCTTGTCGGCCTCCCCAACGTCTCCCTACACAGGCTGCAGATCATCCAGAACTCTGCAGCCCGTGTCCTCTCCCGCACCAGGCTCTGCGACCTTACCCATCCTCACCCAACTACACTGGCTTCCCATCATATAGAAGATACAGTTCAAGATCCTGGTCCTCACCTTCAAAGCCCTCCATGGTCTTCCTCCCCCCACAACCTCTCCGATCTCCTACCATTCTGTTTGCTCCCTCTGCTCAGCGGGCTCTGGCCTCCTTCACGTCCCCTGCCTTGCTCGCCCCACTGGTGGGTGGGCGGGTCTTCTGCCACTCTGCCCCAACCCTCTGGAACTCCATCTGCCTCGCCCCCTCCCTTGCCACCTTCAAGATCCACCTCAAGACCCTCCTCTTCGACCATGCTTTAAATCTCCCTGCTTCCCCCCTGCCCTCCACCCGCGCCCACCCCCAGCTCGGGTCCGTAACTCTGTCTGTCCAGCGCCTTCTGACGTCCTCCCGACGTGAAAGGCGCTTTACAAATTTAATTTTGTTGTTGTTATGGTTGTTCTTCTTTACAGTAAATCCCATGAAGCACATTGAGATGTTTCAACAATGTGTTAAGGTGTTATATTAAATGCAAGGATTATTCTTGTTATTTTTTAGCATTACAAATGAAATAGTATCTGTACAGTATATCCTGTGAAGAGCTTTGAGATGTCTCAAAAATGTAATAAGGTGCTGTATCAAATGCATGGATTAATATTGTTATTATTATAGTAAAAAGGATACTCGTACAGACAGTTGTAGCTGAGATCAAGCTCTTCAAGGCTGCCTGCGTGTTGATATATTTTGATAAAAGGCACTTCTTTTAGGTTTTGATAAGCAAAGGACAGTCTTCGGATTTGCATCATGATAAATACCTGAAACAAGGATACCTGGTGTCACAATAATGTTTATTAAAACCTTTAATCTGTTCTTACAATCAAATCTACTCATTCCTCCCCTTCCCCTGTATAGAACCCGAAAAGGATCTTTTACGTCAATTGAAAAAAGTGCAACAAAAAACTATTTGAAAGAAACTGCTAACATTCGAAACTGTTCACAAGCTAACATCTCAAGCAATGCTATTTAATGTACATTTATAATCAATTAAGGAAAGAAAAACTTAGATGGAGAAATACCTCGTATTGCAGCTGCTGAAACTATTTTAGATGTTCAGACATGGAAAGCCAGGGAAAACAGAGCCACTTTTGTAACTTGTTTAAGCCGGCTTACAGCTCCTTGTAAGAAAAACATCACAAGATTTGGATGTTCCAGTCAGGCAGAAGCTGTCATAAGACTGGCACCACAACATATTATTCAGTCGTTCTGCTTTATAGTTCTTTTTTTAAAAAAAAGCTACAATCTTGTGATGGACAAGCCGAAGTCTGCATTTCAACCTTTATATGTTTTGCATTTAATATTTGATTTGTTATATTCGTTGCAAATGCTAAATTATTCAAAACATTGCTCTTTGCGAAACAGATTTATTGTGGTCTCTGAAGTTGGAGTCTTCTTATTCCAGCCTTTCTGTATCTTCATTGTGTGTGAAACCCAATGACTATGTCTTTTGAGTCTCTCTTATCTCCCATTATCACACAGACTCACACTTGTTTCCCCTACAATTTCCCCCTCTTTCGGTCTGTCTGGTTCATTCCTACACAGGCCTTTGTCCCAATGATAGTTTGTGTGGTGGTGGTGGTGAGGGAATAATTGAATGTTCTTCACTTGTTTAACTGGTTGTAAAATATTCCTGTTTGCAATTTGGTTGCTGAGTTCGCCTGCAAATATAGTCACTTCATAGCACTTTATGAAGCACTTTGATTTGGCCTTCTGACATGAATCTATATCATATGCAAAGATTATTGTTACCATTGTAGCACTTTAGCTGTTGTCTCTTTGGGTTTTGCTTTTGCAGCATATTTTCTTTGATTTGTCCTTTTAATGGGAGAACTTTTATATGGCATTTCCTGTAAATAGAGAAGTCCTTTTTGATTATTTATTCTTACAGGAAGAGTCAACTTCCCCCAGTGTTTTCTGAGCATAAAGTTTGAGAGTGCCCCGTATGAGCTCATGGTCTAGAACAGGGAGGTCTAACCTTTTGGCTGCCGAGGGCCAGATTCCCTACGAGAAAGGTCCGCAGGCCGCATAGGCAATATTTTGTGTTCCACTTGCAGGAACATAACATTGACACAGCACCTTTTTCATGTTGGAAGAACATCTCAAAGTGCTTGATGTTTCCGGCTGGGCACCAGAGCTGGGGAGGTGGGATGCGGACAGCAAAAGATGACCGAATGCGTGTTTCAAAGAGTTAGGTCTTGACGTGCCTTGAAAGAGGGAAGGGAGGGAGGGAGTCGGAGGGACTCCAGGAACTCTAAACAGCGGGGGCAATATGATGATGGTGGGATGGGGGACGTGAAGCAAACCCGTGTTTTTTCTGCAAAGGGAATGGCTGGGTCGGGAGATCCAGAGGTAGGGTGGGAAGGGGGGTGTGGAATGAAGGACCGAGAAATTTCTCACTGGGGGAAAGAGGGAGCTTTCTATGAGGAAACCGCACGGCACGTCAATCCGTGTCTGTCCTCAGTCTTCCCCACGGTGACCAAGAGAGGCTCCGATCATCTGTCCTGACAGTGAACCTTGAAACACTGCCCTCACTTCACTTCTCTCTCTCTCTGCTCTCTCACTCTTTTTATTTCTCTCTCTCACCCTCTTATGCTTGCTCTCTCTCAATCACTCCATCTCTCTGTCTTTCTCTCAATCATTCTCTGTCTACCCTCTCTCTCTCTCTCCCTCTCTTATACACTCTTTCTCTCAATTACTCTCTCTCACTCCCCCTCTCACACCCTCTCTCTCCTCTCACACTTTCTTGTCCCTCTCACACTCTCGTCCCTCTCAATCACTCTCAAACACCTCTCACACTCTCATGCACTCTCTCTCCCCACTCAAACACTCTCTCTCAATCTTCCTCTGCTCTCTCCCTCTCAATCACTCTCTCTCTCCTCCTCTCTGTCAATTATTCTCTGTACCCCCCCCCACCCACCCCATCTCTCAGTCTTTCTCTCTTCCCCTTTCTCATATACTCTCTTCTCTCTCCGTCTCATTCAATCACTTTCTCCCCCTTCCCACTCCCCCCTCCCCATCCCCCTCTCTCTTCCTCCCTGTCTCTCTCTGCCCTTTCCCCCTCTCTTTCCCAATCAGCCGGGTGGTTCACTATCTGCAGCAGTAGGAGCTGGCAGTTGCTAAAGACACGGTGGATAAGAAGACGCGTTTGTCTTCCTGACAGTAACGGTTGATATTATTTCACTATCCGCAAAGCATCCTCCCAACCGCTGGCTCCTGCCACTGCACTGGGAGACGTTCACTAGAGAGGGAGGGAGCGGAAGTTGCAATGTTGGAAATGGTCTCGGGCTGCATAAAATCACCCGGTTGCGGCCGCGTTGAACCACTCTGGACTAGAATAACACTCCAGTGCAGTTGTGGGTGCTGTCCTTCAGATTTGACTTTAAACCCGGACCACGTTTGCCTGTTCAAATGAATGTTTAAGATCCCATGGCACTATTTGAAAAGAGAAGAGTCACTCACTTCATGGCAGTTTGTCGGACATTGCTGTGTGCAAATTGGTTGCCTCATTCCTCCACAAAATACACACAACCACATCACTTTGCAATATGTCCTAAGAAGCACCTTGAGACATCATGACAATGTGTTAAGGTGCTATTTCAAAAGCAAGGGTTATTTGTATTTGGCCCATTAAATCTGCTCTGTTACTTTTCTCCACAAGAGTCCCCTAATTTATTCTCACTCTCCTATTCACTCTTCACACCCTTTAATATTCCTTTTTCTACACATTTATCTAATTACAGTTTGAAAAAATATATGGGTTTTCTCAACCAGATTGAAAGAAAGAAATTAGTTGTAATATTATTGCTATCTCTATTTTTTAACATGGTTAGACCTAACTGTGCTGTTTGGGCACTGTGGCTCCCCATTATTTGCTGCTTCTGGGTTACTATACGAAAGGTCACTGGGTGTATAGATATCTTCCTTTTTTTAAACTCTGTACTCCTTCACCTTAAAATTGCATTCATTCTCCACACTCGTGTTCTTTTCATTGCAGCAGCTTTTAGTTAATTTCTTCTTGCTGCCAACAGTTCTGTTCCCATAGAATTCGCGTTTGCACTCTCAACAACCTCTCTCTGCCTGAATCAAACATCCCAATAGGGAAGAAAGGATTGCATTTTATAGCACTTTATCAAGTTAAAATATCTCAAAGTGCTTTACAGATAATTATTGTTGCAACTATTTTTGAAGGTTAATGAGGCAGTTTTTTATGCAAGCAAAGTTCCACAAACAGCTATGAGATGAATGACAAATTTATCTGGAGGATTATTGACTGGGACATGGGGAGAAATTTCCTTCTCTTTTTCTATTGTACCATGGGATCTTTAAAAAACACCTTAGACAGTATCTAAGATGAACGTGTCAGTGAAAAGCAGGACTCAATAAAATAACATTCATCCAGTACTGGAGTGTGCGTCTAAATTTTGATCTTGAGTCCTGATATGGAATATAATCCGATGACACTAGAAAGTTCGGGTTAATCCTACCTTTATCCTTTCAAACCTGATGAATAAATATCCTGGCTTTGAACTGACTGAGGAAAAATGCCTGGAAAAAGCCAAAATAATGCACAATAATCTAGATCAAGTTTGAAGTTTAGATAGTCACTCAACCTCAAAAATCAACGCGCTAACAGGTGCTCCTAGCTAAACAACAACTACAACAAATTACATTTGTATAGCAGCTTTCATGTCAGGAGCTCCCAAGGCACTGGACAGTCAGAGATCTGCACCCAAACTGGTGGTTGGGATCAGGAGGGGTGGAGGGCAGGGAGGGTAGGGGTAAGAAGATATGGTTGAAGAGGAGAGTCTTGAGACAGGTCTTGAAGGAAGCAAGGGAGGGGGCGAGGTGGAGGGACTGTGGGATGGAGTTCCAGAGGGTGGGGATAAAGAGGCTGAAGGTCCGCCCGCCAATAGTGGAGTGGGCAAGGCGGGGGACATGAAGCAGACCGGTGCCTGCTGAGCAGAGGGAGCAGACAGGTTAGTAGGGGGTTAGGAGGTCACAGAGGTAGGGAGGAGCGAGGGGTGGAGGGATTTGAAGGTGAGGACCAGGATCTTGAACTGTATCCTATGTGTGATGGGAAGTCAGTGGAGTTGGGCGAGGATGGAGTGAAAGGGTCGCGGAGCCTGGTGCGGGAGAGGATTCAGGCTGCAGAGTTCTGGATGATCTGCAGACTGTGGAGGGAGGAGTTGGGGAGGCCGACAAGCCTAGTAGTCGAGCCTTGATGTGATGAATGCGTGGACGAGGATCTTGGCAGCCTACATGGGAGACAGTGGCAGAGCCGGAAGGTGGAGCGGATCATGGCACAGATGTGGGGGATGACAGACAGTTGCGGGTCGCACGGTAGCTGGTCTTGAGGTTCCCTATTCGCTCTGTGAGGTGTACAGTGCATCCATGAAGGATGATGCTGTCAGTGCCCGAGGTATGGAGGGGCTGACGGGAGCCAAGCAAGAAAGCCTCAGTCTTGTAGACAACTACATCCCATGCTGCAGTTACGAGGTATTAATCCAAAATAGTTTTAACTTGTCCTGGCTGACTGATTTTGTAAATCTTTTAAGAATAGCCATAAAATTGCGATTGAATAGCAATTTTATAATATATTATTTTATCTTATAAAATTGCTTCTCAAACCCTATTCTAAATTCTACTGAGAATCAGCCTGAAACTTTTATCTGCAGGGTGTTTTCGGGGTCAAATAATCCAGTTTCTGCTAGAAATATATTGATTTGTGGTCTACATTTTAAATTTTCACCCTATTCCACTCATAAGCAAGTGCTGTTCCAAAAGCAGCCTTGAATCTGGAATGAAGATGAGCACATTTTCCAAGTGTGCAACAGGAACCTTCTTTTCAGCATCTTGAGCTCCTCTGATAACCAAGTGAGTAGACATACTAACATGGCGATCAGTAGTCCAAAACGCTCTTAGATTTAAGCCATTGGCTGGAAAAGTTTGGAAAATTATCAACGTTAGATGATTTTCAACAGTTCTTTTTAAGACTGAATGCCTTCCAAAATTCCACACAACCCTAAATCTTGCGATAATGGATTTATGCCAAAGAACGTGAGAAATTTCCGGCCCCAGAACTTGCAATAATAATCCCTCCAAAAACCCAAAACAATAATTAAATTGGTCATTTTCAATCCACGACTGTTTGTGGGACATTGTTGTGCGCAATTGGCTGCCGCGTTCGCCCACAAATATACAGTCAATTCACTTTACAGTGTGTACTGTGAAGCGCTTTGGGACGTCCTCCCGACGTGAAAAGCGCTATATCAAATGCAAGGATTATAGGATTATAAGGATTATAAATTTGATTCTCAGTCTGCGGTGCGTCACGGGAAACTGGTCTCAAGTCAGGCGGCACAGCTCAGCACATCTCAGAGGTCAGGTGTCTGGGGAAGGCTGAACCCAACTCTGAACCTGGCCTCTGGGATGTACCTGAATTGGTCACTCGCTCCCATGGCTGTCTGCGGGGCGACCGCTGTGCGCAAACTGTCCCCAAAATACACGGTCCATCCACTGTATTGGACTTTATCTGTGAAGCGCTTTGAGACGTTTGACCGAGGTGACAAGGCGCAATATCAGAATGCAAGGAGTACGCAAATTAGATGATATATAGTATATAATAATAATTATTATTATTATTATATGGTATTTCACACAGCAGTGACCCGCCCCCCTCCCCCTGGGCAGTGGGCAGTGTGGAGGCGGGGCTCAGGCCGGGCTGACGGTCACGTGGTAACCCCCTGGCCCTCTGGTTGGTGGGGAGTCGGGGCCCCGCCTCTTCCTGCCAGTACCGGAAGTGCGTGTTGTGCAGGCCGCGGGCTGCTGAGCGCGGGGGCGAGGCCGGGCCGCCAGCATGTCCATAGAGATAGAGTCGGCGGAGTGAGTACCCGCTGCGGGGGGAGGGGGGTCAGGTCGGCCGCCGAGCGGTTCGTATGAGCAGCGCCGGTGTGAGCGGGGCGGCCGCTCTCACTGTGACCGTTATAGAGCAGAGGTCCGGAGAGAGACAGAGAGAGGGGGAGGGGAGGAGGGGCGGGAGAGAGGGAAGAGGGGGGGGGGGAGAAGAGGGGAGAGGAGGGGAGAGAGAAGGGGGGGAGAGAAGGGGGAGAGAAGGGGAGGAGGGGAGAGAGAAGGGGAGGAGGGGGGAGAGGAGAAGAGGGGGAGAGGAGGGGAGGAGGGGGGAGAGAAGAGGGGAGGAGGGGGGAGAGAAGGGGCTAATGTTATGTCGGTGTTGGTTTGACTCAGAGGCCAAATGGAGGATAATAATAAACTTTGCATTTGATGGGCAGTAGTGGTCATAGTCATGTTGTTGAGAGGCGTCTCAAAGCCCTTCATCACATTGCTGGGTCGGCCCATGGGGATGGGGAGCTGAAGAGAGAGGGAGGAGAAAGATGAGCAAAAGTACGGTCAATGGGGTGAATCTGATACACAAAAGATGGCCATTCTTCGCCCGAGGTGGGTTACTGTGCCAAAATGTGATTCCCATACCGGGAATCGAGCCTCTGCCATCTGGTTCAAAACCTGGAAAGGTAACCACAGGACCGTACGGGAAGTTAAGTTACCAAACTGGCAAATGAGGAAAAACATGGAGAATCGGCCGTAACCGTATTCCTCATCGATGTTCACCAAATAAAAACAAATTTCCTGTTGACTGCATTCTTGCCTCTGAGTCAGAAGTTTGTGGGTTCAAGCCGCCCCCCCCATTGGTACATAGTCTTAACACTCCAGTTCAGTACTTAAGGGTATGGTGCATGGTCGAAGCTACCATCCTTCGGATGAGATGTTAGTCATGAGTTACTGCCTGCCTGCTCAGGTGAATTCCAAAGATCGTTTGATGATAATAATATAATAATAATCCTTGCATTTGATACAGTGCCTTATCACATCTTCAAGACGTCTCAAAAGTGCTTCACAGAATATTTTGTAAAGTGAATTGGCTGTATATTTTGTGGGTGAAATGTGGCAGCCATTTGCGCACAGCAGTGTCCCACAAAGTGTCATGGACTGAGCGATCAGTTTTTTTTTATTGAAGGAATTATTACCCCTGGAAAAGAAGGGAGTTTCTCCCAGTATTCCGACCAACAATCCCCCAAATAAAATTGGTCAATCACTTTGTGGCTGCTTCTGTACTATTGCTGTTTGCAAATTATGGAATATTGCTGCTGTATTTGCCTACAAATGTGCAGTCACTACACTTTACACAAGACTTTGAAACACATTGAGATGTTCTCAGTGTTATGGGTGCCATATCATTGCAAGGATTATTCTTATCATTTGGCCATTCATCTTGTTGTTTGCAGGATGTCACTTGCCCTTATTATTTGCTGTGCTTTTCTACATTAATAACTGTTGCACTCCATTATCAAATGCAAGGGTTGTTATTAACAACTTGCTGAAGCATTGTGAGACATTTTGTCTCAAAAACTTCAGCAAGTTAATAATAATTCTAATGTCTCTGAACTAAAATCTAAAATGCTGGAAGTGTGCCACAGGCAAAAACCCCGAATGAGAACTTCTCTTTCTCGATCATTAACCTACATATTTTGAGCATTGCTTGTCTAGCAGTGGAAGCATTTAATTCAATGTTTTCTCTTTTTTTCCCCCCAGTGTTATTCGCCTGATCATGCAATACCTGAAGGAGAATAATTTGCATCGCACGTTAGCAACTTTACAGGAAGAGACCACAGTCTCCCTGAATACTGTGGACAGTATAGAGAGCTTTGTGGCCGATATAAACAGCGGTCACTGGGACACGGTATTGCAGGCTATACAGTCGCTGAAGCTGCCGGATAAAACTCTCATTGATTTGTACGAACAGGTAAACAGAAGATAAATAAAACAGAGTGCTTTTAATCGGTGACCTTTTGCAAACCTCATTTCATAAAACAATGTACCATTAGGAATTCCTTATACAGTAAAGCAGGCACCAGGTGCAATTGCCTCTTACTCCCTTCAGCTGGCAGAAACCCATCACCACGCATAGGAGTCTCCAAACCATACTACCAAGTTCCATATGTATATGATTACCATTCGTCTGATATGGAGTGCTAACTTGAGGGATGAGCTTCTCAGAGGGATGAACCCTGCTTACGTACTGGTAGAGGTGAGGGTTGGGAAGAACAAATGCTTGGGGGCCTTGTGTATTTAGATACTGCTGGAGTTTAAAACCATACAGCTTGCCATTGGGAATATTGACAAGCTTCCCTCTGCTTGTGCAGCTAGGATCAGCCCACCTGTTAGGATTTGCCTTGAGGGGGAAGAATCCCCATCCCCGGTCACAGCGATTCTTCCTTGCTCTGCTGTTGAAAAAAATATATATTTACAATATATATGAAAGTGATTTACATAGTTTGTCAGTTTTTGGAATTGCAGGGTCTTTTTCTTTTGAGGGAGGACAGAAGGCTGAAGTTCAGCATTGTGCGCTAGGAAAAGCATGTTGAAATTATGCCCTGTCTATACTCTAAATAAAGTAATTAATGGCTTCAGCAGTAGTGTGAGGTACTTTACAGTCCCCTTGTGTGAGATGAGGGCTGTGAGAATTTGGGGTTAATGTGTTTAATGTTACAATTGGTTGCAGAACTGGCTCTTTAATATCTTTATGAATTGGTCCTTGAAAGTTCTTGGGTGTCCATTTAAGACATTGTTTGCAACAGCTGTGTTTATATTGCTGCCCACAAATCAAAGTGTTTGTTGATGAATCCTCCACAGGATGATCTTGCCAGGAAGGTGATTTGCTTCTGAATTTTGGCTTGACTGCTAAACCACAATCTATACTGCACCTATACTTTACCACGAAAATCACAGCAAATACAGCTTTACAGTTTGACAATAATAATTTATGCCTCATTATGTTTGACTGCAGTTGACAACAGAATACGCATCAAGTACCAATCGCCCAGCTTTCATTAGATAAAGTCTACAGGGAGTCATTTCTCCTAACTGTTGCAGATACATGATAGGATTGAAGTTAACAATTGTTCCCAATGTGAAAGCAGGCTAACGGGGCTCGCATTCACTGTTGGTGAGTTTATCGGGTCCCTGGATTTATGTCAATTGGAAACAATAATAATAATAATCCTTGCATTTGATATAGCACTTTTCACGTCGAGAGGACGTCCCAAAGCGCTTCACAGAATATACTGTAAAGTGAATTGACTGTATATTTGTGGGCGAAAGCGGCAGCCAATTGCGCACAGCAGTGTCCCACAAACAGTCATGGATTGTAAATGACCAATTTATTATTGGTTTTGGTTTTGGAGGGATTATTATTAGGCTCTGTGTGGAGTAAGGAAACTTGCCCAAGGTTTCGCCCTCTGCCTGGAATTGAACTCGGGTCTCTCGCTTGCAAAGCGAATGCTCTAACCACTGAGCTACAGGACTCCAAAATAATCAACAGCGTATTGTGTGTACTCTATTGCAAAAGCTTAGCTTATTTCAAAACTGCAATACTATGTATTTTTGCACATATTTTCTTTTTCAGGTGGTTTTGGAGCTGATCGAATTGCGTGAGTTGGGTGCTGCCAGGTCTCTGCTGCGACAGACTGACCCCATGATTATGTTAAAACAAACCCAACCAGAGAGATACATTCACCTCGAGAATCTTCTCGCCCGGTCTTACTTTGATCCACGTGAGGTACGTTATCGTCTTAGTTCAGCAAATTCAGAAGCGTGGGGAGAATGAGCAACCATTGTGCATTCTATAGTCTTTAAAAAAATAAATGGTGCCTTTGGGAGTTTTACAAAATACAGTAGATTTGACAGTAGAAAGTGAAGTGATGCAGTAGCCTGTCTTAAGCTGGATCTTGATCTGAATTTATACACAAAACAACTGTCAGAAACATCGGCTGAAATTGTAGCAGAACTAGAATCTAATAAATGAATGGAACATTTGGTCACTTCTTTTTTACAGGATGGTATCTTGGAGTTGTGTTTATCATTACACTTATTGTTGTGCATTTCTACTCAGGCTTACCCAGATGGCAGCAGTAAAGAGAAGCGAAGAGCGGCCATTGCTCAGGCATTGGCAGGAGAAGTCAGTGTAGTACCTCCCTCACGTCTCATGGCTTTGTTAGGACAGGTAAGGATACCGTGTGGTGGAATGACTATTTTCAGCTGAATGAGCAGGAATAAATTTATGGTGCTATTTTTTGCAAGAAAACAATACTTTTCGGATGGGAAATAATCTGAGCTATCTTGCTCAAAAGTTATATTTGATGTGTAGTTTGCTCTCACAAATTGGCTACTGTGTTTGCCTTGAAAATACACGTCACTACAATTTAGGGTAAGTTGTGTGAAACACTTTGAGACGTCTTCAAGGAATGAAAGGTGCCATATCAAATGCAAGTGTTAATATTAGTAGTAATTTTTGCTTCAGAGCATTACAATTCTACCCAGCCACAAAATGTACTGTACACAGCACAATATTTAAATGAAGTAGTGAATGATAATGAATAGATAGAACACCACAACAGTGACTTCAGGTCTTTGTTTAGCAGGTGATGTTCTGGCCTTTCACATAACAAAGAGCTTAATGCATTATTCTGTGGTGGGATGAGCACAGAAAGATAGTTAATATCCTGGTTATATTTTTACGTGAGATTAGAGCGCTCAAACATCTGTATTCTGAAGGAATGAATTCTGAGGACAATTAGAGCATCCCAACATAGCTTACCTTGAGACCAGTATGTTTCTCCCACAAAATACTCAGTCAATTCACTTAATAGTATACTCTGAAGCGCTTTGAGACATCTCGACAATGTGAAGTCACAATAAAGGATTTTTTATTATTACTAGAATAATTGCCTTGAATTTCCAAATTCAGAATCGGAGTATGAAGAGTATTAATTGATCATTGCATTGTTTACTTCAGGCACTGAAATGGCAGCAGCATCAAGGTTTACTGCCTCCAGGTATGACCATTGATTTATTCAGAGGCAAAGCAGCTGTGAAGGATGTGGAAGAGGAGAAGTTCCCCACTCAGCTCAGCAGACATATTAAGGTACGTGTTCTATCTCAGTAACTCAGTGGGCTGGAGTTACAGACTGGTACCAGTTCGAACACTCGGGTTCTAAAAAGCAGTAAATAAAGATATCTATTTAATCAGTAAGGAGTATTGTCTAGATTGTTTTGTCTTTTGTGTAGAGTCTTGAAACATCGTTTTGTATTTGAGAAACTGCAGAGCCTGAATTATTGAAGATGGTTAAATTCTATATGTATGTTTTCCAGTATGGGAGGTCTATTTTAAGTAAGCCATTATTTTTGCCTTTTTTCAAAGTGCATGTAAACTTTACATTGGTTTTGAACTTTAGTCAAAGACCATCTTGAAATTATTTGTCATGAACAGCTGTTACAGCACTATAGATTGAGGGATTTAAAAGAGAATTACACAAGAAATTTGCTGAGGAAAGATATTAGAGGGTACGTGGTAAAAGCAGGGAATTGGGATTAGGGCAGATGGCTTCTTAGAGGAGCAAACATTGGCACAATATAATGGGTCGAATGGTGTCCTATTATTTGGTACATTTCTATGATATTCTAACTTTGAAGAGAGGAAATCCCGTCTAATTCTAAGTTTAGCATAACAAACTTTATTAAATAATTGCATTATATTTATAATATTTTTAATCTTTTAAATAGTTTGGTCAGAAGTCCCACGTGGAGTGTGCTCGGTTTTCTCCAGATGGCCAGTATCTGGTTACAGGCTCTGTGGATGGCTTTATTGAAGTGTGGAACTTCACGACTGGCAAAATCAGAAAAGTAAGCATTGAACAAGCTAAATGGTCTCATTACAAGTTAATTTAAAGAGTGCGTTTTGGCAGCCTGGACCATTAAATTGTATAAATCTGTGATTTTACTTTAAAACTGTTGTATAGGTGACTGTGTTACAGCACCTACCACGCTCAGTCTGTTGGTAGATAAGTTGAATCACAATTGTTAGTAACTTGGGCAGTAACTCAATGCTTCTGCAATTATAAACAGTAAAACTCATATAAGTTGTATCAGTCGGGACCATAACATTTAATATAACTTACGTGATGTCCAAGTTGCAGGCTTTTATAAATGGCATAAAATCGAATTTAATCAGTGCGCTCACGTAATTCAATGCACAAGGTAAGTGCCTACGTGGTGATGGGTCAAAACTACATTTCCCGCAAAGCATTCCATCTTGATCTGTCGCTGCCTGTGCACTTACCAGCAAACATTGGAATCGCATTGAGTCGCGGGAAATGAAGTTCTTCTGCACATGCGCTGGCGGATCAAAATTACGTATCCCACGATTCAATGCAGCCGTCTGGTAAGTACGCATGCAGCGACCGGTCAGGGCATCCTTTCCCGCGATTCAATGCAACCGGTAAGTGCGGGAGTAATAGAGGGTAGGGGAGTGGTGATACGAGTTAGGAGATGATTAATATGATTAGTGTCAAAAAAAACGACTTGGTTTTGATAGGAAACTATCAATGCAGACTGAATGGGACTTGGGTGAGTGCATGACTTAGGCGATTATATGATTTATAAAGGTAAAACTTACGTGAGTTACTGTAGTTTAAATGACATATATCAGTTCCAATCTCTCACTGTTTGTCTCAGTGATTGCCCCTACACAGTACTTGTGTTCTTGTTATGAGTATTTCCATGGTAGCGATTAGGCTTGTTTTCCTTGCTCACTTTGTTATAAAGAGATTACCATCTATATCCACCCTCTTGTGCATTTGTTTTAATTTGCATTTTTCACAATTAAAAACCACTCTTTGTTGCCTGTCAGTAAAGGTTACTGTATTTCTCACAGCATTGGATGTAACTGGATCCCAGATGTGAAGGTTGTGTATTATTTGGGTCTTCAGTCTCTGCCTCCACCCTTTGGAACTCCATCCCATTGTCCGTTCACCTTGCCGGACCCTCCTCTTTACCCTCGCTTCGGTCACTCTCCAACCCCTCCCAACCCTCCACCCCTCCTGATCCCAAACCTCTGTTGGGGCGCAAATCCTTGACTGTCCAGGTTCTTGGGACATCCTCCCCATGTGAAAAGGGCTATACAAGTTGAGGAAGCAATAAACAATTTTTGCTGCTTTCTAGAGCCATACTTGACAGAAGTTAATGTGCTGCATATCGGAAGTTAGTTAACTGTTCTCCAGTTAATGGCCAGTGCTGAAATTGTGAGCATGTATGGCTAAGGATGATATAGCTAGTGCAGTTCTGTTAAGCTGACTTGTTTTATGGCAAGCACAAAGTAGATGTATGATTTTAATAGTTTGTAAAAACTCGACCTTCTAATGATTCTTAATTTTTAAATGATTGTTATATCCCTTTTCTAGGATCTCAAATACCAAGCTCAGGACAACTTCATGATGATGGACGACGCAGTTCTTTGCATGTGTTTCAGTCGTGACACTGAAATGTTGGCTACAGGAGCCCAGGATGGAAAAATTAAGGTGGGCAACAGATTGAGAATGTAAGAGAGCGTGGAAAGAGAAAAGATTGCTTGGCCTATAAAGCATGCTTTTTCCACTGCATTGTAAAACCTACTCCATTCACAATATATTCTGTGAAGCACTTTGAGACATCGCAAGGACCTGATAAGGCACTATATCAAGAAAGCACTTCTGATGACATTAGCGGCACTTCTGGGCCTAGCAGCTGTTCAGCCCCCTTGTGTTTTAATTTTTTTTTAAACTGCATCAACTCATAGTTTATCAATGGGAATTAATTTCTGTCAAATTTTGGAAAATTGCAAAAACGTATATCAGTGTGTACTGATCTTTATCAAAAATGAGCTATCTGATCATCGAACTGGACAATGGCACTTGAAAACCTGTATTTATTAACATAAACTAAACATCACCCGTCTAAAGTTTTTTTAACAAAGAATCATGTCACTATTATTTTAGAGGAACTTCTTTCCATTTGACTGTTGACTGATGTTGTCTCATTAGGTGTGGAAGATTCAGAGTGGCCAGTGTCTACGCCGTTTTGAGCGTGCTCACAGTAAGGGTGTCACCTGCCTTAGTTTCTCCAAAGATAGTAGCCAGATACTCAGTGCATCTTTTGACCAGACTATCAGGTGAGTTTTAGTGTTGTTTGTGTAATTGCTTAGGGGGTAACATTAATGTTTTTAATTTCTTGTAAATTGTTGTTGAAGCTTTGGAACTCTCTTCCCCCAGTTCCTCCGCCATGCCCCCTCCTTCCCCTCTTATAGATTACGAGTGAAGACTTTCCTCTTCGATTGTGCTTACAGTCACCTGCTCCCCCCCACCCCCCGCCCCCCCCCCCACACTCCCTCCTGGCATTAGGCTGTGACACATTTAAGAACTCCGAGACGCTGCCCCGCACAAAGAGTTCTATACAAATGCACGATGATGTTGTTGTGAGGTGCAGCATACAGTTTTGTGTGAGATTTGTAACTTCGCCCATTCTAAAGAGCTGTAGGTGGTCTGGTTCTTGACAAATGTATCTGCCTTTCAACATTTTTCATTTCTTTTGTTTGTAGTTTAAAGATGGTTCTATTGTGTGCGCGACCTTTTTTTTATTGCTTTAGTGTGCACAAATCAATCAGAGATAGGATCGTTCTGTCCACAAGCAGGGTGTCACCTGTGGGTAGCAGAGTTGATGTAGAGGCGAGTTGCGAGATCAGGGAGGAGAATTCAGCGGAGTTAGAGCAAGAAGCGGAGAAGTGGAGGTTGAAGTCTCCTAAGATAATGAGGCGGATCTACAGAATTTATGACCACTTTGACTCACGCACTGACCCTTCTGTCACTCCCTTTGGGGTACCTGAAAGTGGAATTAAGATGAATGTTGGTGCTGGTTCTGTAGCTCTATTTTTTTGTTGACGGAGATGTTAAGGTTGATAACTTGGAAGGCTGGGTCATGCTGATATTCAGTAAGAGTTGCAGAGCATGCATTCTTGCTTATGATTATGAAGCGCTGGTGTCATTGAATAATGATGTTAGTTTGCACTGTTTGCAGGATTCATGGTCTGAAGTCTGGGAAAACTCTTAAGGAATTCCGAGGTCATACATCATTTGTCAATGAAGTGACTTTCACCCAAGATGGACACTACATCCTGAGTGCATCATCTGACGGCAGTGTAAAGGTACTCTTTTAGAATGAAAGGTGATATGTACCCATTGTGAAACCCATGATCCCCAAAAACTTACCTATATTTAATAAAGGCATTGGTCGGAGATGTGTCACTTAAGTATAATGAAATGAAGAAAAGGTGGAAACAGTCTAGCCTGTGAACTCATGCCCCAATATGAGGCTTGATCATATGAACTTCTGACCAAGAAGTGAGACTTATCACATGAGCCAGAGCAACACACATTCTTGATACTGTTTGAAAAGAAAACAATTTTGTCATGGTCATCGATTTTCCAGATGAATTGATCACACCTGGTTGCTTGTCGGCCCCAGAGGCCACTAATGGTTCCGCTATGGAGTGTCCACAAAGTCCTCTTACCCCCTGTTACAAAACAGTGTATAAGATTACGGAGGAGCTGAAACAAGCTGTCAGAGATGCATTTCGCCTTGTCATGCCTTCAGGTTACTGAAAATGTCGCACAGAACATGGCGACGGATCATTTCTGCCACACAAATGATGGCACTCACACACTGATCCTCTGGTTGCCTAAATACAGTTAAACACTTGTACTGAATACAATTAAGGGCTTTTAAATACAAAGATCACCATTCTTCCACATGGTTCAGTTGTTGGTCAGTGCAGTGTGTAAAAAAAAACATGGAGGTAACAGGAGTTTGTGGAGACCATGTACAAGAAAAGTCTATGTGACTTATCATTTGTAATATAAGGTGCTATAAAAATGGAAGTTGTTTCTAGTGTTTTAAGCATTGAACTCCCAGGTGTTCGTATTCATGTTTTTTTCCCTCTTTCGTCACAGATCTGGAACGTAAAAACAACAGAATGTGCAAATACTTTCAAGTCATTGGGGAGCACTGCAGGGACTGACATCACCGTGAACAGTGTCCACCTTCTGCCGAAGAACCCTGAGCATTTTGTAGTATGTAACCGGTCCAATACAGTAGTCATCATGAACATGCAGGGGCAGGTATGGCTTCACTGACCTATTTTGGTGATGGGGTGGGATGAACTATTTCAAAAATAGCTCATTTAATGTTTTTGTGATTTGGCCACAGAATATACTATAGATCGAATTGACTGTATATTTTGTGGGCGAAATGTGAAAAGGTTACAATCACAAAATATACAGTCAATTCACTTTACAGTATATTCTGTGAAGCACTTTTAAGACATATCAATGATGTTATAAGGTGCTATATCAAATGCAAGGATAATTATTATTTTCCACTACTGAATAATTAGAATGAGTGATGAGAAATGAAAGATTATATTATTTGCTCTCGGAGAGCAAGTGTGTATAACTCACTTATGAGTCCTCTGCAGGATCATATATCTGTGAACACAGAAGGAGTGTAGATTTGACTCCAAGAATATAATTATTCTTGATTTATTTCAGATTGTGAGGAGCTTCAGTTCTGGTAAAAGGGAAGGTGGTGATTTTGTTTGCTGCTGTCTCTCTCCACGTGGTGAATGGATCCACTGTGTTGGTGAAGATTTTGTGCTATATTGCTTCAGTACAGTGACTGGCAAGCTGGAAAGAACATTGACGGTAAGATGGGGCTGCATGTTTCTGAACAGTAGATTGGCATCTTGTCTGTGCTATATAGGAATATACAGCAATGAAAAGAATAATTACAATGTGTTTAGCTATTCACAAAGGGAACAACCCCCCTGTCTTACTCCCTGCAATCAATGTTTTCTCTATGTAGTTATCCAATTCCCATTAAAATTTGCTGATGTAATCTGTAGCCAATGCCTTGCCAAGTGGTGTGGCCATAAAATAGTGAAAAAGCTTGTGTACTTTATTGCTAACTTTTTCCTGAACCTCTTCTTATTCAATGGGAACACCCCACTCTCCTAATTTGGGTGACCAGTTCCAGCTCTTAATTTAATTATCCTTTACAATATACTCCCATCATTAAGATGGTCTTTGTGTATTATGGTGTATTGTCTAGGAAATAATGTTATGGGATATAGTACATAGATCGTTCAGGACATATGTGCATGCAACTCCCAGGAAGGTGGAAGGCGAAGCAGGTGGACTTTTTTTTGCCTAGCATTTCTTATGTTCTTATGGTGACCAGAATTGTCTGACAGATGGGGCCTGATCAATGCTGCAAGGTCTTCTCACACATTCTCTATTTCTTTGTTTCCTCTTAGCTTCTTACTTGCTAATACAATCCCACGTACAACTATGCATTATTTTTAGCTAGTTTTTTAATCCATTTTACATGGTTCTTCTTCTCCCCTTACCCTCTTTCTCTGACTTTCACCGCTTTCCAATAAGTCCAGTAGGCTGTCAGGCTCTTGATGATCTACTTCATTTTAAGTACTGTAGACTTGTGAAACTCCATCCAGACCTGGTGCCTTGTCCACTTTAAATGTCTCCCATTTGCAATAAATCCAGATATGTCCACATAAAATTCCACACTATTTTTCATCATATAATCTAACATATATAAAATAATGCTTAATGTTTCTCTGCCGTTTGTAGTGTTTTTTATTGATTTGTGGGTGAAATTTGGTGCATTTAGTACTAATTTTGGTTGCATTCAATACTATTGTATTTACAATCATCTTTTTTNGTGCAGATGAATATTTTGAGTGCTCTTCCAAAGCAAACCATAACCTTTAATACAATATTGCTACTAATTGTAGATATGCAGGTCACAAGTTGTGATCATTTTGGGTGTAATGTATTCATAATTCTGATTACATATGGATGTCTTGTAGGTACATGAAAAAGATGTCATTGGTATTGCTCATCATCCACATCAGAATCTGATTGGAACATACAGTGAGGATGGACTTCTTAAACTTTGGAAACCTTAAGAGGATCGATGAGCTGTTTCTTCCTGAAATGGCTGACACCTTGTAACTGTACATGGTTACAGCTTTGACACAAGTAAAACTTGCAATGAAACTGCAAACCATTTTGTTTCAAAAGGTTCGCAAACTTCAGATGTTAATCCATTTTATATGCATTTGACCCAACTTGTATGCACTAATCATACCAGATTGTGTAGCAATGATTAATTTGATTGATGTGGCAAAAATCAAAATCTTTCTGCCTTTGTGGCAGGTTTTGAAAGATCATCGCTGAAAGGTTTTATTCTCCTCATTTGTCGTCCTAGTGTTTGTTTCAAAATGTTTCATAAAACTTTTCTTGCCTTAAGGTAGGGATATAATTTGCAAGTGTCATTCTGAATAAATTGATTTCTTTCCAAAATATCCTGTGAAAATGAAATTCTGTAATATCTAAAAGGACTTTTGGGAGCAATCCACTTGATTTTTTGACTGCCTTAGTTTGTAGTAAATGCAAAAGCTCTTCAAAGCAAACATTTTAGATACTGCTGAAGCATAACCAATATAAGAAATTCTTGAGGGTTCAATCAAGTGCATTAACCCTAAGAGTTATTCATATTCTAGTCTTTGAATGCATGAAGGGGTAAGAGTGCAGCAGGTACAAAATGCTTAATATGAAAGGCTGAAGTAATTTCTCTTAATTTTTAATTAGTGCAGAAACTCACTCAATTTACCTTTTCAACCCTAGCAAACACTAGAGCCCCGCCAAAGGAAACCTGTTTGAATACATCTAATGAGCTAATAATGAGCAGTTATCATCCACGAATTCATCACATCTAGGCTCCACCAAGCCAACTCCCTGCTTGTCAGCCTTCCCACCTCTTCCCTCCACACGCTGCAGTCATCCAGAACTCTGCAGCTTGTACCCACACCAGGCTCTTTGGTGCTGTCACCCCATCCCTCAAGAGTTCAAAATCCTGGTCTTTGTTTTCAAGGCCCTCCACAGCCTTGCCCCTTCCTACCTGTGACCTGTTATCTCCATATCAACTACCCTCTCACTCCACTCAGGAGGCACGAGCCTGCATCATGTCCCACCGTCAGCAGTTGGGCCTTCAACCTCTGTCCCCACCCTTTGGAACACCATCCCAAATTCCCTTAGCCTCACTCCCCCCTTCAAGGCATGTCTCACGACTTTCCTCTTCAATCACACCTTTGACCACTTTGTCTGATCCCAAACCTCCTTGCTTGCACCTAAATCCGTGACTATCCAACTTAGGAGATCCTGCTGATGTGAAAGATGCTCTACAAATGTAATTTTGTATTGTAACTATTAGGTATTGGTTGGTTTCTGGAAGCCTACCCACATAGCCATTGTTTAGATATAAGCCTGGGCAGAGTCCAGCCATGTGGGTTTCTGAGAGAGAATCACACTTCCCCTCCCACAGCACCCTCAGGCTAGCCCAAGATTCACACCGGCATGCTGTTGGTCTTTATAGTTCTACTACACTCAACTCTAGTTATGTTTAGATAGCACAATATCACAAAAGAACCACACTAAAGTCACTTTCCAGCACATACAGTAAGTAGTTTCCTTTATTTTAAATAATGGCTGTTAGAATGCACTTTAATCAATAAGAAACATGAACACACCTTACAGAAAAGCAATTGCAATTTTCAATTGCAACAGATAGCAAACATGTAAAAATTACTTGGGTTGCAATCTTCACACTTCCACAAATGCAAACAATTTGGGAGTCAGTTTTTAAGAGGTCTGACATTGAACCCCACTTCTGGGATGATCATCATCATCATCATGGTATGCCTCTCCATTGTAGCGATGCCTAGACTGCTGTGGATCAAACTCCACTAAATCCACTTGATCCATGTCATCTGTAACATTAATCTCATGTCGTGCAGGGAGCAGTTTTTCCAGGAGACCCAGTTTATCCATCTGAATGAATCCATTCTGAGGGAAGTTCACCTAATTCCAGAAGTACAAAATGTTAGCCATATATGAACAAACTAACTTTAATGAAGATAGGTAAAGATTAGTGTAGCTTCACTTTAGCAACTTTAAAGCACACATTTGTTTATAACATGCCCTCATTGTATGCAGAGGAATTTTATTCTTCCCATCTCATACAGAAGCCTAAAATTCAATCAAAATAATAATAATCCTTGTATTTGATATAGCACTTTTCACATCTTCTAGATGTCCCAAAGCGCTTCACAGAATATACTGTAAAGTGAATTGACTATATTTGTGGGCAAACGCTGCAGCCAATTGCGCACAGCAATGTCCCACAAACAGTCATGGATTGAAAATGACCAATTTATTATTGTTTTTGGAGGGATTATTATTAGGCTCTGTGTGGAGTAAGGAAACTTGCCCAAGGTTTCGCCCTCTGCCTGGAATTGAACTCAGGTCTCTCACTTGCAAAGCGAGTGCTCTAACCAATGAGCTGCAGGACTTCAAAAGGCTATCCACTGTTCATCCTTTACTAACACCTTTAAAACTAAGATTTGTACCAATTGACAATTTACAGCATGTACTGTAAAGTAGGGCAAAACATTGTGAAAGTTTCCTTACTCCACATACCTGTTTACCGAGCAGTAAATACAAACCTGGTTGTTAGTTGAATGGCGGATCGCTTTCCAGGGGTTATAATCCTCTTTTTAAAAAAAATATGGTCACTCAATCTACAACTGTTTGTGGGACACTGCTGCATGCTGCGTTTTGACTAAAAAAATCTTGTCAATTCACTTCACGAATTCAAGATCCTCATCCTCACCTACAAAGCCATTCATGGCCTCGCTCCCTCCTACCTCTCCGACCTACCTACCTGCCCATACCCTCCGTTCCTCTGGCTCCGGTCTGCTCCACATCCCCCGCCCCAACCGCCCTACCATCGGTGGCCGGGCCTTCAGCCTCTCAGCCCCGAGGCTCTGGAACTCCATCCCCCAGTGCCTTCGCCGTCTCCTCCCTTTCCTCCTTCAAGGCCGGTCTCAAGACCTTTCTCTTTGACCGTGCCTTCAGCTCCCCTCTCGACTCTCTACCCCTTCCTCCCTTCCCTCCCCCTGACCATTTCCCCCCTCCTCGCTCCCTCCCTTCCCTCCCCTCACCCTGACCATTTCCCCCCTCCTCGCTCCCTCCCTTCCCTCCCCTCACCCTGACCATTTCCCCCCTGCTCAGGTCCTGACCCAACTGTACAGCGCCTTGGGACGTCCTCCTGACGTAAAAGGCGCTCTATAAATGGAATCTTGTTGTTTACAGTATATTCTGTGAAGTGGTTTGAGATGTCTCGAAGATGTGATGAGCACTATATCACATGCAAGGATTATTATTTTGTGAGTGAATGTGGCAGCAGATTGGCACACAGCAATGTCCCACAAACACAATGGAGTGAGTGAACAATTTCACTTGGGAGATTGCAGGCTGGGACACTGGGGAAACTCCCTTCTCTTTTCAAATAGTGCCATGGGATCTTTAACATTCGGTATAAGGTCTGATCTAAAGCTCAGCACCTCTTGCACTGTAGTACACTGCCAGCACTAAGATGGGGCTTGAACTCACAACCTTCTGACTCAAGGCAAGAGTGCTACCAAATGCACAAGCCTTTATATTGTGGTATTCGAAAAAGGGAATTAAACAAAAATTGTAAAGTGTGCCCCCATTTCCAAGTAGACACTCAGCAGTCTAAGTATTGTCAATAAATGAACATTAACTTGTAAATTCATTCTACAGTGTATTTTGCTGAGAACGAACTGATCATACCTAGTGCTGTGAATCAATACAAGAACAAATTTCATCCTAGATATGCCAAATGTATTAATGAAATACTAACCTTCAAAGTTAATTTTTGTAATTACAGCTTTAGAAATACCATTTTAAGATTGTAGTTTACTAAACAATCTACCCCTAAGGTCATAAAAGCATACCTTGAACTGAATAATTAGACGTCCTTTTTCATATGGTCTGCGATAAATGGGTATGCCCTCATTCAGCACACACCTGATGTCCCCATGTTTGACAATCTGGCCTAGAAAAGACAAATAAAACATTGCATAAAAAGTTTTGTGAAAAGACCCCAAGAGGCTTGGAAAAGGGCATTTCAGTCTACTGGATCTCTACTTCCAGAACATCCACCCTATACTGTCTGCCTGTCAGACATCAATGGACAAGACAAAATCCACTGTCCTGAAACCATTCTCGCAGATGCACCCGCACAACCAAGTCCCATGCATGCAGTTCAGCCACTTCCCACGCAACCAGGTAAGTTCTTTTTAAAATGTACAGTATACTAGTTGAGACTCTGCAAATGTTGGGAGTATAAAGAGGTATAATTAAATTTCTATACCTGTGATTTCTCCCAACGTTTCCCCATAAATCTGACCGTCACAAAATTTATTGTGACTGCTCTGCAATTTGACCAAAAACACCATGCCCAAATCTGCAATCCTAATATCATACACGTACAGCCACACAAGTGGCCCAATTGAGTCGACCCTCCACAGCAGTCTACTCTGGTTCCTTAGTCAGAGGGGTCCGCAAAGCACTAGGTTACTGCTGATGAGTCAGTCTGGCTTGTCAGCAGTATTTGGGAAAATGGGGTCAGAGATTCTTCCTACTTGGCTCCAGTTAATCATCCAAGCCTATGCCCCAGTAGGTGGTTGGATAAACAGTGGAAAACTTGCAAGATAGTGCTCTCAATGGCAAGCTATGCAGTTTTACCAGTTTTGAAACCTCTACAGACTCAGGAGTCTCCAATCCTCAACTCAGGAACCTGCACCCAATACTCTGCAGAGTTAGGCATGCAGGATGTGTTCCTTCAGTGTGTGCATTCCATTCCAAACAGAAGGAAGTTTCCATGTATAGGGGCAAACGTGAGGAATTTGGTGATTGATTTCTACTTATATAAGACCAAAATTTATTGTTAATTACCCTCTGGGTAAAACAATACATAACCATAAGCCAATGTCTTGTTTTGCTGTCTCAACATATGAATATATTGTTCTGGATTTACTTTCTCAATCCCATTCAAAAATCATAAATATACAGGAAAAAGACTAATAAAGCAAACAGATTCTGCCACTTTAACCAAACTGAATTACTATTACTCCAAATTCTAATTTTACACAATCAAACCTGAAGGAAGCAAGATGGACAGGATAACTTCTAGGCAGCTTTATTCTGCCAACATTCATTAGTTAAGGTGGTACCCAACTCCAAACCTCAGATAAAAGGCCCCTTTGTGCCAATAGTAACCCTTCTAAACTCACTATACTTACCAGGATGTGATGTAATGACTATAGTCCTTTTATCCAAAGTTGTAATTGGGCGTTGAAATCCACAAAGAGCCTCCACTAGCTCAAGTTCCATTTGCATTGCAAGGTCTTCCCCTTGCCTAAATTACAAATACAGAAAAAGTATGAAGAGCCATATTTTATTATACTCAGTACTGAAAGATTTACTCAGAAGCTGTCAAATAGTCACCTAGTGAAAACACTATGGTCCTTTTGATCGAGAACAATAATGATATCTCCAGGTTCCAGCCCTGGTTCCTGGTCACCTTCACCATGGAATGTCAGTTTCTGACCATCCTTCATACCTTTTTTTAAAAAAAAAAGCAACAAAAGGGTTATCAGCTTACACATATCTACACAATTAACATCCACTCATAGAATCTGGATAAGCTTTAAAGGCCCATCTTTGACTGTACTTCCCTTCCCAAAATCTAGCTCAGACTTCTTCCTACTCATTATAAAGGTGATTTCTCCTTATGTGAAAGATGCCCTACGAGTGCAAAATGGTTAAGATCTGAACAAGGAAGGTCGCAAGTTCAATCCCTGATCTTAGCAGGTAAACGCTTATGGCCAGAACAGCAAATCGAGGCCAGAACTACAATTGCTCAATATTCTCCCCCCGACATAGTTTTCCAGACTTGTGCAGTAATTCTTGAATGAGCTTCGCCATGACATTATATTGAATCAATTGCCTGGAGGTATTTCCCAATTCTGCAATGGTTTAAAAATGGTACTAAACAGCCATCTTATTAAAACATGAAGATACCTTTATCAATGTGCACTTCCAAAATCTTCTTTTCCACAACAATTTTTCTTCCACTGCAGTTTTTACAACGGTCCTTAGGACTAATGCGTTCCCCTTGGCCATGGCACTCTTGACACACAGACTGGATTTGCTGAACCATGCCTGGCCCAATTTGATGGATTCGCACCTGCATACCTGTTCCTCGACAGGTAGGGCAGCATTCCACTGACCCCTTTTTACCACCACGACCTAGGCAAAGAAAACAGTTCAACAACATCAGCAACAGTAGCTCTTCCACTACCTACAAACTTTTATGTACTTTTTTTAAAAAAAAGCTGCTGCTCAAATTTTCTTCTTCCAACACCAAGGTTAGAAATACCCCCACAACTAGACTGGTCAGGATGTTTGATTTGCATTGCTACCCAGCAGCCTCCAACAGGTGCCCACGTGTGGAAGGTTAAGGTTCAGTCTGATGCTTATTCTACCAAGCGGTTATTTGAATCAAGGTTCACAAATGAACATTTGTAGTTGAAGCATTCACTACACTTCTAAAATTCCCCAAATTTACTGGTGGAGCATGAATCACATTTTCTAGAAAATGTGGAATTTCCAAAGCACTTTATGGAAGTTGCCAGACATACAAGTTTGGGGCAATTTCAGGAGAGTCTAACAGGAAGTTTAGTCCTTGTAGTGCATTCAGTAAAAGTTTACATACCTTCACACTTCTCACAGATCACATTTTTTTGCAACGCTAGCTTCCTAGTAGCACCATTGTACATGTCTTCCAATGACACAGAAAGCTGGTGGACCACATTTTTCCCTAGGATTTTAAAGAAAGTTTCACATCATTTTCTATGACCAGAGCAACTTCAGCAAACAAACTCACTGAACTCCCTTAAACAAGTCTAAAATGTGGAATTGGAATTTATTTTACAGTTTAAATAGAATAAACAAGGACATCCTTCAATTTGTAATTCAAGCATTTCCCATGTAAACATTTAAGTATTAAGCAACACTACATCATTCCTCAAACCATTTTAAATATTGTTATTTATACATATTTCTGAATTTCAATGTGAAAAGATTGTTTGAAAGATTGAAACAATAGAAATATTAATATGATCTAACAAATTCTCCAGACTAGTGTTATAGAACAGTGATCAGAATGTCCTGTTATCGAGATTAAATCTGTAGACAGCATGTGCAGAGGAGGAATAGGACAAGCAGTTAACAAAACAATTTAACCAAATAGTAGCTGGCTTCATTTGGAGCCACTATTTGTTCTGGGAACCAAGATGAGTATCAAACAACATCTCAAAAAGGCAAATAGCTACTAAGCACTTTTTTTTAAAAAAGGGCAAGAGGTCAAGAACACTCATTTATATGTCACTTTTCATGTCAGCAGGACATCCTAAGACAGACATGGGTTTGAACCCGAGCTGGAAGTCGAATTCAGGAAAGGGCCAAGGGAGATGACTGAAGGCGCAGTGAAAAGGAAGAAAGGTCTTGAGATGGATCTTGAAAGACGGGAGGGAAGAATTCCAAGATAGGGTTCCAGAGTGGGGGCAGATATGCTGAAAACCTGATAGCTGAAAGTGGGGGAAGCAGAGCTGGGAACATGAAGCAGGCTATTACCTGCCAGGGAGAGGTGTTGGTAGGCTGCATTTGATAGCCATGCAAATTCCACATAAAATAAAAACTAATTGATTGAGTGGTGGGGAGGGTGGTATGCTTATTTTGGGCGCAGTTAATTTTGTCTGTATTATAGGAGACAATACATTCAGGTTCAAATAGAGAACAGTAGGAACTAGAGGTGAGACAGGATATGGCATTTCATTCCCTCAATGATAATAGATTACACAGAAAGAACAAGCTGTACTACCTGTGAAAAGTACAAACTAATATTTTTCATTTCATATTCATTGTAGCTGGCTTGTGAATCAGTTTTTTTTGGAGGATAAAAGGGGAACAAATTTAGATTCTGAATAGATATGAAGTAAAAAAATTATAGCTAACTACTGTACAAAGCAGGCAAAATAACAATTGGAACTTTAGTGTTGAGCTTATATCTTCACTAATGTGTTGGTTATGCTGTACTACTCATTATGCAAACACAGAAAGGCTGCCATTTCTCCCCTTCGTGCTTTTAACAGATTCATTGCAAAAAAAAAGCTCCAGAATAACAGTCGACTAAAAGCAAACCTAGACTCAGTCACACAGAAATGTTCCAAGTTATTATTCTAGAAGCAAAATCCATTCGAGATTTAGTAGCCACTGGTTAGAAAAATTGCTTTCACCATTGTTACAGAATAGGAAACTTCCCATATGGATATTTTTGGAGGCACCAAATTAACACAATCCTGAATAGAAAACGTTAATCTTACCTCTCCTTTCTCGGTGCATTCTTCCTCCTCCACCAAAGAACATATCAAAGATGTCCATTGGTGAGCCAAAACCACCCCCACCTGTTCCACCTTCTTTGATAGCTTGCTCACCACCTCGGTCGTAGAGCTCTCGTTTTTTCACATCAGAGAGCACTTCATAAGCTTGCGAAATTTGTTTGAACTTTCAAGACAAAAATCAAAAAAGTTATAAGAAATCAACTTCACATTTAACCATTTATGTAATTTCTAAACCATTGTTACTTGAATGTTTGAAGAATTCAATTAGATTAAGGCAGTAAAATTTTTTGAATATACACTTTGATTTGCAGTCTGAGTTAAATGTAATCACATTAATTAGGAAAGTTCCAACCTTACATCCTGCCAATCCACCCATACAGCAATAACCTGTACTCTTCTGGCTAATTTAGAAGCATGTCCAAAGCCATCAAGATTTGGTTCTATTTCGTTTTGGGCACACATGTCTTTTTCTGCTCCCTCCGCGAACCCAGAGAAGAAATAAACTTATTCACCACTATGACTGACATTTTGGCAACATCCATCCACAGAATATCTGCTTAAGATAGATACTGTTAAAAACAATTTTTTAAACATGTGTTGTGTCTAAAAATAATGGTAATCGGCTTACATTTGTTTAATAAAAAGGTGCTCTTGCAGGTCAACAACCATTCTTCTCTAGCTACAATACAAAAAGGATTCATCTACAAGTTTCTCCATTATTTTTGCCAAATCCTACTCAACCAACTGGAAGCATTGAAAGCAATATTAAGCTAATGTTAAAAGTTAACAGTTCCAGCACTAAATATTTCAAGTAATTGAAGTATGGCTAATTTCAATGCTCTGCTTGGACATCAATCTCAAATATGAGTCAGTTTTTATACACAATTTATACATAGTGCCTTTCAAAGATCTTTTAAAAATAACAAAAATGCCTTAAGGAGCCATTCAGCAATTCACAATAAAATATGATGCCAATGGCATCCTACAACCAATTAATGTTCTAATGAATTTGGATTGCTCAGGAAATCAGAAGAGCTACTGTTCTTCCCATCATGGGATCATCATCCTCCACAGATCAGAAATAGAAATAAAAGATGTTGGTTAAACATCTCATCCAATGAAGATTAACACTTGACAATTGGTCATTTTCAATCTACGACTGTTTGCGGGACATTGCTGTGCGCAATTGGCTGCCGCATTCGCCCACAAATATACAGTCAATTCACTTTAATAATAAATAATAATAATCCTTGCATTTGATATAGCGCTTTTCACGTCGGGAGGACGTCCCAAAGCGCTTCACAGAACATACTGCAAAGTGAATTGACTGTATATTTGTGGGCGAACGCGGCAGCCAATTGCGCACAGCAATGTCCCACAAACAGTCGTAGATTGAAAATGACCAATTAATTATTGTTTTTGGTTTTTGAAGGGATTATTATTAGGCGTTGGCACTTATTATTAGCACTTTACAGTGTGTTCTGTGAAGCGCTTTGGGACGTCCTCCCGACGTGAAAAGTGCTATATCAAATGCAAGGATTATTATTGAGAAATTGAAGTGTAATTTAATGAAATAGTGCTCAGTACAATCAGTGAGCACTAGGCTCCGCGACCCCATCTCCTCCATCCTTGCCCAACTCCACTGGCTTCCCATCACACAGAGGATACAGTTCAAGATCCTGGTCCTCACCTTCAAAGCCCTCCCCAGTCTTGCTCCTAATCTCTTACTACCCCGTTCGCTCCCACCGCTCAGCGGGCTCTGGCCTGCTTCACGTCTCCTGCCTTGCTCGCCCCACTATCAGCAGGCGGGCTTTGGCCACTCTGCACCCACCCCCTGGAACTCCATCCCACAGTCCTTCTGTCTCGCTCCCTCCCTACCTTCAAGACCCTCCTCTTCGACCATGCTTTCAATCTCCCTGCTTCACCCCTGCCCTCCCCCACCCAGACCCTCAGCTCAGGTCCGTAACTCTGTCTGTCCAGTGCCTTGGGACATCCTCCTGACGTGAAAGACACTATACAAGTGTAATTTTATTGTTGTTATCGTCATGTTTATTCAAGGTTTCCATTCCAAGTGTTTACCTAAAATTAACTACTGATGGGCTTCACTAATATTTAAGGTAAGTTAATATCCAGGTTATAGTCACTTAATTTTGTTTATTGGTGAGCAAGTTTAGACCTGCTAACCCCCTATTAACTGAATTGGACTGAAACGTTCCCCTTGGGAACAAGTGTTATTTATGTCCCCGCAGACAAATCTTCATCCCCAAACCCTTCTAGGCCCCAAATTGTCAAAGGACAATGCAGACCGGAACCATGTCTTCACGACCACCCGAGCAAGTCAGGTGACTGGATCCCCTCTCTGGCAGGGCAAGACCAGCCTGAGCCTAGTGAACAAGTGATCAAGGTAGTTTCGAGTACAAGTATTCTCTGCTTCCTCTTTATCAGAGCAGATCAAGCTCCTTATATCGGATGAAAGAAACCCTACAATCAACACCGATCCAACGAACATAGGGCTGAAATATACAGTTATGTTTTAGTTGCTGCTGTGATCAAGTTAGTCATTCCTTTTGAGACAGTTGTGATGTATAAATTTCCTCTTTGTGCTTCACACAGATCATTTCCCAAGTGAAAAGGCAACAGCAGCTATGCTAATTCAATATAAAATTGCTCGTCTCCATGCAAGCTGCTGTTGCTATGGATTCCACTTGCTTGGATACAATGTAAACTAAATGGATTGATCACGAGGCCACTTACAGCACTGGGTAACCGTAGAGAATCTGATAAGTTCTTATGTTACATGATATTTACCCTTTCACCTTCATTTGGATTCTTATCTGGGTGGTATTTCAAAGCAAGTTTTCTGTATGCCTTTTTTAGTTCATCTGAACTTGCAGTGGTTTTAACCCCCAACAGGTCATAGAACGCAGTTTCTTTCACCATTTTGTCAATTCAGTATCTGAAAGTAAAGCAAATTGGAACAAAGATTCAACTTTATGATTAACTATCAAAGTCAAAAAAACAAAAGCACAAATGGAGTTAATGCTGGGGTTAGCCAGTATCCCAATCCCATAGTTACCTCACTGTGAAATTGCAAGAGATGAAGACTAATTTAGTGTTGCAATGCTCCCAGGAGAAAACTTGAGTGCCTAAACAAACCAATGGTTCCTTGGGGGAAAACAAAGACACAAGCCACAAAGAGCCCAACATTGCAAACCTCAAGTCAATATAGTAATGATTCAAAAAAACTTGATCCTGACTCTTACCAAAATTGCACAATGGTATGGGAATGCAAGCCTGATGAGGGATGACCCATTACCTTGCCAGAGAAGTGTTTGGCAATTATAAAAATCAACATCATTCTGTGTGGGCAGAAGATGTACATCCATCCACATATACCTACTAAAAGCAGAAATTTCACCACAAAAAGGCTCAACCGAGCCAGTGGAGATATTTAGATAGCTTCCCTGGATTTACCTACAACTTTTTTTAAAAAAACTTTCATAGCAGTATTTGTAGAAGCAGATTACTTAACCACACCTTGATTTGAACAGCTATTGAGACAACTGGTGACAAAAGCAACACAAGACCAATTTGATCTTGCTCACACCCAATCTATTCTCCTTGCAAATCAAGGGTAATTTTATTTCTGCACACCTTATTACTTTCTGTTGAAGATAATTATCTGGTTAACTAAGTGCCTCCACACCTATTTGAACATCACTGTCTGCAAATTGATCTTTTAATCCCTGTTAAAGGACCAGTTAACTAAATGTATGGATCCCTAGAAACTTGATGCTAATTTAATACCATCCATTTTGAAATACAGTACTCCACTTACTTCACTTCTGTATAGGAATTGGCAAGTGTGAAGTACTTTTTTTAAAAAAAATATTTGGGGCTGAAAAGCCAGTGAGAATAGTTGAAGAACCATTGCATGAATTTCTTGGGATGAATATTCAATATATTTGAAGGCAGAAACCTTCAGACACTTGTTGCTTCACCCCACGCACTTATCCACTTCATATTGTGAAGACTGTTCAACCATTAAATCCAAGTCTCACCCCAACAGTCAACGACAACGAATACGAAAAAACCTCCTTTAGCTGCTTTCTTAACGCAGAACAATGCTACCAATACACTGGTGCCCCAGTCAATGGCTTATTTTCACTGTCTGTGTGGACAGAAGATGTCCATCCAGAAATTTCAACCCCCAAAAAACCCTGCGATCTCCCTGCTTCAAAAGGCTGTGAACACTAGGGGCGATGTGATTTACCTAACGGACGGAGTGAAGTCCAAATTAACTCACAACCGCGAGGGGGTGGGGGAGAGATTAAAAACCCCACACCATTTCCATTGTGCCGTGGGAAGGGTGAGGACAGGGAAGGGACCCGGTAACATCACGGGGAGGGGGGGCTGCGCCTCAGAGCGGTCAGTGCCGGGACTACACCTCGGGGGCCGTCTTTGTGGCACTGACGGGGGGGGGAGGAGGAGAAGAGAGCGCGCGCAGGCCGGTCACCTGACTAGACCATCACCACCCACTCAAGCCAGCGGAAGTGACGCTGGCGGAGGAGCCGTACCGGCTGCGCGAGCGAGAAGCCGCGCGCTCCCCTTCCCACCGGGTGGCAACGTCTCGACCTTCGATCGATACCACACACACACACAGCTCAGAGAGCAGGCGCCGCCATGGCGACCACAGCCCCGGTCGCGGACACGCGCTCGCTCTCAATACCGGTCAAATAAAGGACCCTCTATCTAAAGTAGCGGCGCCGACTCGAAGGTCCAAAGCAAAGCAAAGAGCGGGCAGAGCGGCATTTTGTTATCCTGACACTGAGAACAGAGGGGGATTGAAGCGGGCGGGCGGGGTGGAGAGAGGGGGGTAGAGAGAGGGGGGGTGGGAAAAAGTGGGGGAGAAGAGAGGGAGGGGAGAAGCGGGTGTATTCGAGAGGGAGAAGTGGTCGGGCGGAGGGGGAGAAGCGGGCGGGCGGAGGGTGGATAAAGAGAGGGAAGGGAGAAGCGGGCGGAGGGGGGGTAGAGAGGGAGGGGAGAAGCGGGACGGGGGGGAAGGGGCAAGAAGGAAGGTGAAACTCCCAATTCTTCAAACAGAAAACAATCGCGGTAAAAAAAAACACGCTCTGCTGCCTCCCCACCGTAAAGACTTCCTACCTGGTGAGGGCTCAGGGTTATGCTCGCGGTGTGAGGTGATGGAGAGCTGCAGTGTCGGCGGTTCTCACGCTCTCAGCTCGCCGAATCTTCTGGAAATTTCTGCACTTGCCGGCTCATCCGGGTATTTGTACCACAGGTGGCTGACGTCACGATCAGGCAGTTCAGCCCCAGGCGGGGGGGGGCGAGTGAGCATGCGCGGGGAGACCTGAGTCATGCTGCAGCCACAAAGATTCAGTTCCGCTTCGCCCTCCGCCCCTCCCCCCCCCCCCCCACACACACACACACAGAGCTGTGCATAATAGTCATAATAATCCAAGTATTTCATATAGCGCTTTATCACGTCGTTGGGACGTCTCAAAGCGCTTCACAGAATATACGGTAAAGTGAACTGACTGTATTTTGTGGCCGAAAAGTCGCAGCCAATTGCACGCGGCAGTGTCCCGCAAACAGTTGTGGATTGAGTTTTGTTGGGGGGAGAGAATATTACCCCTGGAAAGCAATCCGCCAATCAACTGGGTGCCTACTTACTCCTAAACAGACACGTGGACTAAGGAAATTTGTCTGTGCCCCACCTGGGATTTTGGTCTGAGCTTGAGTTTCTCGAGTTCAATTCAGCTGAGATCCACCTACAGGAGATGCCTCAGTTGTGAATAAACCAGGAGTAATGTAGGCCAGGTTTCTGGTTGACACGTCTGGGCTCTCAATCGATTAGTTTTCCCTCACGTCCGCACTAATGGCTGCCTTCGTCACTGTTTTTACCCTCCCAGGCTGCTGAGTCCCTTATCCACCCTTTCATTACAACCAGCCTAGATTAGTCATATACACCCTACTCAACAATTTCCTCAGCCCCTCCCCATAAAAGCTGAGAACCGTCCAGAACTTCGCAGCCCGGGTCCTTTCCAGCACCAAGCCATGCAAGTCCATAACCCCCATTATTGCATGGCTCCATTCGTTCCACAACCACCACTCCCCCCACCCCAGGAGTTTGAATGTGAGATACTCATCCTCTCCCTCAAACTGCCTTCAAAGCCTCCATTCACCCTTTGTTTATCCTTTCTTGGACAAGCAAAAATTGTAGAAATACATGCACATAGCATTACATTACACTGTACTGTACAAAGAACATTGATTAAGCAATCTATTCCCCACTATTACCCACATAGTTGTCCAAAAATATATAAACAAAATTGCAAACATTTGAAATATGTTTTGTATCCTTTTGTCCTGTAGCTCAGTGTTTAGAGCACTCGCTTTGCAAGTGAGAGACCTGAGTTCAATTCCAGGCAGAGGGCAAAACCTTGGGCAAGTTTCCTTACTCCACACAGAGCCTAATAATAATCCCTCCAAAACCAACAACAATAATAAATTGGTCATTTTCAATCTACGACTGTTTGTGGGACATTGCTGTGCGCAATTAGCTGCCGCGTTCGCCCACTAATATACAGTCAATTCACTTTACAGTGTGTTCTGTGAAGCGCTTTGGGACGTCCTCCCGACGTGAAAAGCGCTATATCAAATGCAAGGATTATTATTATTGTCTATATTTACCATCAGCATTGCATATTATGCAATATTGGGATGAAGTTTGATAAAATAAGAAATTGATGAAAATGAAAATTATTGCAATTTTTAATATAATAATCCTTGCTTTTGATATAGCACCTCATCACGTTGTTGAGACATCTCAAAGAGTGCACAACATAATTGCGAAGTGGATTGACCGTGTATTTTGTGGGCGAAACGCGGCAGCCTATTACGCACAGCAGTGTCCCACAAACAGTTGTGGATTGTGTGAGGGATTACAGAGGGATTATTACCCCCGGAAAGCGATTTGCCAATTGACTAACAACTGGGTTCCTAGTTACTGCTACGTAAACAGAGCTGTGTAGAGAAGAAAATTTGCCTAAAGGTTTTGCCCCGATCAAGGATTAATTAAACCCAGGTCTTATTGCTTGCGAGCCAAGACTGCCGCCGCTAACCACGTCGCTACGGGACTCCACATTTGTTCAGATCCCTGAGATATAACAACAATAACTTGCATTTATATAATGCCTCTGTCACAGGGTAGCATCTCGGAGGATTAACAGTGGCAGAGCTTGACTCTGAGGGAGGAGGTGACCGTAAGCACAGAGGAGGAGGTTCTTCAGGTGCCTGATCTGAAGACAGGCAAGGAGGAGGGATTGAGGCAGAGAGTTCCATAGTTTTGGGGTGTTAGTGGATAAAATAGAATAATTGTTGGGTTTATTGCATTCAACAGATAACCAAATATTTTGAACACATGCATATGATCTTTCAGGACATGGCCCAGACAATTTGTCGAGATGCTGTATACTAGGAGGTTCACAGCTGAAAAGTGGCAACTATTAAATTAATTGGAATGCCTGCCTTCCTCAGTGATCCAAGAATTCAATCACAGATATAGCGAGGTTATAGCATGCAGAACTCAACCATTCCTTCATTTTAAAGTAGACCTAATACAATGCAAATTTACATTTATATAGCACCTTTCACATCAGGAGGATGTCTCAAAGTGCTTAACAGTACTGACTGGGCACATGAGCGGGGGCTGGGGGTGGGAGGGAAAAGATTATCGAAAGTAGTCTTGAGAAAGATGAGATGAGGGAGGGAGATGAGGCAGACCGACAGACTCTGAAGTTCCAGAGAGCTGGGGTAGAAAGGCTGAAACCTGCCTGCTGATGGTGGGATAGATAATAATAATAATAATAATAATCATCTTTACATTTGATATAGCGCTTTTCATGTCTTCCAGATGTCTCAAAGTGCTTCACAGAATATGCTGTAAAAAAATATGATGCATTGTACCCGAAGCAGGCCTGGTGCTCACTGAGCAAAGTGCAGAGCTGGGTCAGTAGGGTTTGAGGGGTTCGCAGAGTTAGGGGTGGAGTAAGACCCTGGGGGGATTTAAAAGTGAGAATGAGGATCTTGAACTCGATTTGCAGGGGGACAGGTAGCCAGTGGAACAAGCATGGATGGAGGTGATAGGCTTGTGGAACCTTGTGCACGAAAGGATACAGAGAGTTCTGGTTCATCTGAAGCTTATGTAGTGAAGAGCTGAGAGGATGGATGTGAGGTTTAAAGCACAGTTGGGAGTCAAATTCCGAGGTTCCACAGCAGCCCTGTGAGATGGGAGTGTGCATCCATACAGGTTGATCCTGTCAATGCTTGAGGCAAGAAGGTGCTGACAGTAGGGAGATGCTAGGGCATGAAATAATTTGTAGAAGGGTATGGGGATCTTGAAGTTGATCCATTCTGTAATTGGGAGTCAGTGGATCCTGGCAAGGACTGTGGGTGATGGGGGTATGGAGTTTTGTGCGGGTGAGCACATGGGACTAAGATTTGAGGATTTGAATTAGTTGGATTTTATGATTGGTGGAGTTGGGAAGACAAGCTAGAAGGGTATTGGAATTATCAAGATGGGAAGTGACGAATGCATGGATAAGGGTTTTGAGTCTCAAATTCAAGATCCTCATCCTCACCTACAAGGCCATTCAAGGCCTTGCTCCCTCTTACCTCTCCGACATACTATCCCCCTACTTACCTGCCCGTACCCTCCGTTCCTCTGGCTCCGGTCTGCTCCACATCCCCCGCACCAACCGCCCTACCATCGGTGGTCGGGCCTTCAGCCTCTCAGCCCCGAGGCTCTGGAACTCCATTCCCCAGTGCCTTCGCCTTGCTTCCTCCCTTTCCTCCTTCAAGGCCAGTTTGAAGACCTTTCTCTTTGACCGTGCCTTCAGCTCCCCTCTCGACTCTCTACCCACTCCTCGCTCCCTCCCTTCCCTCCCCTCACCCTGACCATTTCCCCCCTGCTCGGGTCCTGACCCAACTATCCAGAACCTTGGGACGTCCTCCCGACGTGAAAGGCACTCTATAAATTAAATCTTGTTGTTGTTGTTGTTGTTGGGTACGAGATACAGCTGGAGGCAGGCAATGTAACAAGGTGAAGGAAGTTGGTCCTGGTCAGGAACTGGATGTGGAGTAGGAAGGACAGTTGGGGATCGAGCCTGAAGCCTGGGTTATGCACAAGTGCAGTAAGCCTGAAGGATATGCAAGGGAGGTTAAGGAGGTCAGAGCCGCAGATAAGAAGCCGTTGATAGGTGCCAAGGAGCATGGTTTCCATTTTGTCAATATTTAGCTGCAGAAAGCTGCCGCTCATTCAGGCTCTGATGTCCAACAAGGCAGTGGACAAAACATCAGCGACCTGAAGTCACAGCTGGACGAGAAGCAGATTGGGATGTCATCCACATACATGTGGAAGTTGACCCCATCTATGACTGCAGATGATATCACCGAGAGGGATGGAAGGGGTCCAAGGATGGAGCCTTCGGATGGTACGTTGCAGGTGACTGGGCGGGTGGAAAAAACGTTTGCGGAGTTATATTCCCTCTTATGTTTATTCTCTCCCTATCTCGAGTTATTATTATATTCTCTCTCTGGTTATTATTATTCTCTTATTATTATTACTATTATTATTATTATCATTATTATTCTCTCTTGTTATTATTCACTCTTGTTATTATCTTAGTCTCTGGTTATTATTATAAAGTATTATTCTCTTGTTATCTTAGTCTCTGGTTATTATTACAAAGTATTATTCTCTTGTTATTATCGTAGTCTCTGGTTATTATTATAAAGTATTATTCTATTGTTGTTATCTTAGTTTCTGGTTAATATTATACAGTATTATTCTCTTGTTATTATCTTAGTCTCTGGTTATTATTATAAAGTATTATTCTCTTGTTGTTATCTTAGTCTCTGGTTATTATTATACAGTATTATTCTCTTCTTATTATCTTAGTCTCTGGTTATTATTATAAAGTATTATTCTCTTGTTGTTATCTTAGTCTCTGGTTATTATTATGCAGTGTTATTCTCTTGTTGTTATCTTGGTCTCTGGTTATTATTATAAAGTATTATTCTCTTGTTATTATCTTAGTCTCTGGTTATTATTATGCAGTCTTATTCTCTTGTTGTTATCTTGGTCTCTGGTTATTATTATAAAGTATTATTCTCTTGTTATTATCTTAGTCTCTGGTTATTATTATAAAGTATTATTCTCTTGTTGTTATCTTAGTCTCTGGTTATTATTATAAAGTACTATTCTCTTGTTGTTATCTTAAGTCTCTGGTTATTATTATACAGTATTATTCTCGTTATTATGTTAGTCTCTGGTTATTATTATACAGTATTATTCTCGTTATTATCTTAGTCTCCGGTTATTATTATGCAGTGTTATTCTCTTGTTATTATCTTAGTCTCCGGTTATTATTATGCAGTGTTATTCTCGTTATTATCTTCGTCTCTGGTTATTATTATGCAGTGTTATTCTCTTGTTATTATCTTAGTCTCCGGTTATTATTATGCAGTGTTATTCTCGTTATTATCTTAGTCTCTGGTTATTATTATGCAGTGTTATTCTCTTGTTATTATCTTAGTCTCCGGTTATTATTATGCAGTGTTATTCTCGTTATTATCTTAGTCTCTGGTTATTATTATGCAGTGTTATTCTCGTTATTATCTTAGTCTCCGGTTATTATTATGCAGTGTTATTCTCGTTATTATCTTCGTCTCTGGTTATTATTATGCAGTGTTATTCTCTTGTTATTATCTTAGTCTCCGGTTATTATTATGCAGTGTTATTCTCGTTATTATCTTAGTCTCTGGTTATTATTATGCAGTGTTATTCTCGTTATTATCTTAGTCTCTGGTTATTATTATGCAGTGTTATTCTCTTGTTGTTATCTTGGTCTCTGTTTATTATTATACAGTGTTATTCTCTTGTTGTTATCTTGGTCTCTGGTTATTATTATACAGTGTTATTCTCTTGTTGTTATCTTGGTCTCTGGTTATTATTATACAGTATTATTCTCGTTATTATCTTAGTCTCTGGTTATTATTATAAAGTATTATTCTCTTGTTATTATCTTAGTCTCTGGTTATTATTATACAGTATTATTTTCGTTATTATCTTAGTCTCTGGTTATTATTATAAAGTATTATTCTCTTGTTGTTATCTTGGTCTCTGGTTATTATTATAAAGTATTATTCTCTTGTTATTATCTTAGTCTCTGGTTATTATTATACAGTATTATTCTCGTTATTATCTTAGTCTCCGGTTATTATTATGCAGTGTTATTCTCGTTATTATCTTAGTCTCTGGTTATTATTATGCAGTGTTATTCTCTTGTTGTTATCTTGGTCTCTCTCCTCTCACTATGGCAACCAACCGGAAGGCGCTAAGGAAAGATGACCGTGTCTGTGTAAGCCACGCGGGTGGAGGGCAATAATAAAAGATTAGTTGGTGGTAAGTGACTTACAAGGCAGTGAGTGCTCCCTGTGCCGCCTCCCCCTGGACCAGGGTTTGACAGAAATTAAACCAGGTCTGTGGCCCAAAGGCCACAAAAAGTAGCCCCAATGTAGCCCAATATCACGTGTCACCTGTTACTGGGTAACAGAGTGGCTGATTCAGCTCGAGCGTTTTTTTCGAAACGGTAAGAAAAGGTCTTCAAAGAGAGGAGGGAGTAACGTTTTGCAGGTTTAATTTTTTTAAAAAGAATTTTTTTAAAAAAAGGCACCCGCTCAAAGACGTTTTTCACGCACCGTGACAAAAATCCGCCCAATTGGACGTGAAAGCAGCCCAACCTGCCACCTGGTCTCCGGGTCTGACCGGAGCGACGCGCACGCCGGCATTTAGGAATGAACTGCGCCTGCGCCTTGCCCTTACCAACATGGCGACACTGAGCCCCCGCGATGCATTGTGGGGAGTGGACGGCTCCTGTTAACCGAAGAGTTGTTGCCTGTTGTGTGAGAGCTGGAGAGTGATAGGTGTGATCAGTGAGTTAGGTATCAATGTCACTCGGTGTAGGTAAGTTATAAATATCACTGGTTAACGTGAATTATAAATGTTATAACTATTTATAAATGTTTCCCCAAATCCTCCTTCTACTCCAAGGTTATCTTGGAGGCAAAGGACAATCCCCGGCTTCTCTTTTCCACCACAAACCGTCTCCTCTGTCCACCTTCCCACGCCGCGCCCATCCTCTCCTCAACCGCCAACTGTGAGGAGATGCTGGACTTCCTCAAATCCAAAATCGAGGATACTTCAGCCATCTCTGTCCCATCCACAGCCACTCACGCATCACCTCTCCCTCATGACCCACCCCCCACCCATCCCCCCCTATACTCCTTCAACCCTATCTCTCCCTTCTCCCTCAGTACGACTGTCTGCAAACTCAAACCCACCACCTGCTCTCCATGCCCACTGCATCCATGTCAGCAGTCTCTCTTCCCAACCATGTCTGCAGTCTTGTCTATGATTACAGTGGTGAGACATCACCTTGTTGACGAGTATCAACAAGATAATAATAATCCCTCCAAAAAAACCCAAAAACAATAATAAAAAAAAATTGGGTCATTTTCAATCTACGACTGTTTGTGGGACATTGCTGTGCGCAATTGGCTGCCGCGTTCGCCCACAAATATACAGTCAATTCACTTTACAGTGTGTTCTGTGAAGCGCTTTGGGACGTCCTCCCGACGTGAAAAGCGCTATATCAAATGCAAGGATTATTATTATTATTATTATTTTAAAAACTGGGCCTATGGTCATCAATTCCCTTGCTTGATATCTGGCGGTGAAGAGCTCTGAGGCATTATATTACATGAAGGACTCTATATAAATGCAAGTTGTTTGCTTGTATTTTTCTCTTGTGGTTTCTTCTGGAAACTATTTAGATTGCTGTCTGAGGTTGCTCCTCACCCTCTAGCTGGGCCATAGGGACCATGAGCTGAATTCATCAGCTTTTCTGATCTTAGAAACATACAAAACTACAACAAATTGCATTTATATAGCACCCATCACACAGGGTAGCTTCTTGAAGCGTTTAACAGTAATGGAGCCTGATGCCGAGCTGGGGGGAGGGGGAAGATGGACCGTAGGATTCGTCAAAGAGGTTGTCAGGTGTGATCTGAAAATGGGGAAAGAGGGGGGCAAGGCGGAGGATTTGAGCATAGTGGCTAAAGACAGGGTGGATCAACAGTGCGGGAGGAGATCATTCGGCCCATTGAGTCTGCATCGGCTCACAGAGTAAGATGATCGCTTCATTCCTGCCTTACCCCATAACCCTTATTTATGGAATAAAATTTGCCAATTTTAAAATGAAATCAAATTTGACACAATCTTAATCTTTAAGCCCACAGGAAGATTGGCCCTGAAAGATATCCAGTGCTCAACTGTTATGTCTAAGTAGTCTTGTTATGACGTATCAACAAAATATCTATGAAGCACTTTAAGACATTTCAACGATGTGATATGGCGCTATATCAAATGCAAGGCTTATTATTAGTAATTTGTAATTCTTGTGATAATTAAAAGCATCCATACTGGAAATGAAAGCAACATAAACCACTGTCTGTTCTTTGTAATGTGCTATGTTACAGTACAATGCGAGTGTGTTGGCTGGTGAGTAAAGATGGAATGCATGAACCTATTCGCCTTCCACATTTACAGTCTGTGATAATCGGTCGAGGCCTAGATACCAAAATTGCAGATAAAAAGTGCTCGCGACATCAAGGTAAGTGAGTGAAAATTGTCTGTGTCTCTTTTTGCAAGTTCTTGGATGATGACTAAAACTAATTAATATATTGTTGCATCATCTTAAAATTACAACCATGAGATCCACAGAATCTATTATACCGCACTTCATTATCACGCAAGTTCACTATTGAGGTGTGGACTCCCAACATTTAGTTACCAAATAATCCCAAATGCCTGCAGAAAGCTGGCTAGCTCACTTCATGTGGATGGCTGGTGACAGGAACTCCCTGCGAGTTTCCTGTTAAGCAACACAGCTCAGTATGAACTATGTGAAAGCATTGCCACCATCTTCCTGCTCAGACACACGTCCCTTCCCATTGAGCGATGGTTCCACCAGTTGGAGGTGTGGAGCTTGAGTAGCAGCTGATGATCTCTCTGCAAAGCAATCAAAGTGGATTGCAAACCCTGGGTGTACAGACATGTGTTCACAAACTCAGACTCCAGGGAACACTTTCCAGCAGCTGTAGCCGCAAGCCTTGAAGAGAGATGAGCACGACCAGAGTGCCTTTTGCTCTCTCTGCACAGTCCTTCAGTACAGTGTCGAAGCAAAGTTGGTGGACACCACAATCCCCAGGTACTGATAACAATCATCAATTTGGACTGATGGATTTTCTAATCAATACCCTCGATGACTTCTCTTGAGTCACGCAGAGCTACGATTCTGTACTTGGGGCCATACATTACAGTGTCCCACCGACTGGCCCAAGATGGTGCAGTGCAAAAGGTCCCCAGGTGAGTCTGCCAGCAGCACAGTATTGTTCGACTCTTGGAGATTATTCTGTGGAGAAGAAAGAGAAGAAGCATTGTGTGACTTAGAATGCAACTTGAGAGAAAAAATACTAACAAGTGTGTTAACTTTCTTGTTACTTTTCAGTTCAACTGAAAGCAGACTACAATAAAGGATATGCTTTTGTGAAACAGGTATTATTTCTTTTGAATGGTAATGCTGTGTGAAAAGGGTGTCAGTCTGGCTCAGTTGGTAGCACTCTTGCCTATGAGTCAGATGGGTGCAAGCCTCACGTCGGACTGGAACTCAAATAGTCTAGGCTAACACTCCAGTACAGTACTGAACTTGTGCTGCATTGTTGGAGGTGCTGCCTTCGGTTGAATCATTAAACCAAAGTCCTCTGACTGGATGTTGAAGATCCCATGGCACTACTTGAAAAGAGAAGTGAGTTTCTCCGGGTATCCTGGCCAACATTAAAATTGGTCATTCACTTCATGGCTGTTTGTGGGATATTGCTATGTGCAAACTGGCTACCGCGTTTGCCCACAAAACACAGTAACTCCACTTTAGAGTATATCCTGTGAAGCACCATGAGATGTCGGCTGACATGTAAGGTGCTATACCAAATGTAAGAATTATTATAAAGTGAATCCCTCAATCAGATCACCTCTTAATTTCAGAACTAGGGAATATAACTCATGCTTATTTAGCCCCTTCATTCTCAAGTGTGAATTAACGAATCGTTGCTGAATACCCTGCAAGGCTAGTATATAAGACCATAAGACGTAGGAGCAGGAGTAGGCCATTCGGCCCCTCAAGCCTGCCACGCCATTTAATAAGATCATGGCTGAATGGCCTACTTTAGAAATCTATCAACTTCAGTCTTGAATATGTTCAAGGACTGAGCATCCACAGCCTTCTGAGGTGAATTCACAAATTCATTACCCTCTGAGTGAAGAAATGTTTCCTCAATTCGGTTCGAAAAGGCTGACCCTTAATCTTGAGATTATGACCCCTGGTTTTAGAACCAGGGGAAACAGTCTCACAGCGTGAAAAGCGCTATATCAAATGCAAGGATTATTATTATTATTATTATTATCTACCCTGTCAAGACCCTTAAGAATCTTATAGGTTTCTATAAGATCACCTCAAATTCTTCTATATTCTAGAGAATACAGGCCTAGTTTACTCAACCTATCCTCATAGGTCAACCCCCTCATCCCAGGAACTAACCTAGTGAACATACGCTGCACCCCCTCTAAGGCGAGTATGTCCTTTCTTAAATAAGGAGACCAAAACTGCACACAATATTCTAGGTGCGGCCTCACCAAGGCCTTATACAACTGTAGCAAGACTTCCCTACTCTTGTATTCTAACCCTTTTGCAACAAACGCCAACATGCCATTAGCCTTCCTAGTTTCTTGCTGTACCTGCATACTAACATTTTGTGACTGGTGTACAAGAACACCCAAATCCCTTTGAACACTAGTACTACCTAGTCTCTCCCCCTCTAGAAAATAATCCGTTTTCTATTTTTACTACCTAGGTGAATAACTTCATAGTTTCCCACGTTATACTCCATCTGCCACCTTCTCGCCCACTCACCTAGCCTGTCTATTTCCCTTTTTCATTCTTCGTGTATCATCCTCACAGCTTACTCTCCCACCTAACTTTGTATCGTACCATATCTTTTCTAAAGTTAGGCAGCCAAAATTGAGTACAGAACACAGTACAAATGGGCTGTATATACAACTGCAGCAGCACTTGCTTTTATATCCCAGAGCCTTCATTACGAAATACAGTATCCCATTAGCTTTTTTTTTGTAATTTCTTGTCTTCCTGTCGAAGTGGACATTAAAGATCCTGTGGCCCTATTTGGAAAGAGAAAGAAGTTTTTACCAGTGTTCTGACCAAAAATGTCTTCAAATAAAAAATTGTCATTCACTTCATGGCTGTTTGTGGAATATTGCTATGTGCAAATTGGCTACCACATTTGTCTACATAGTCACTACACTTTACAGTAACTCATGTGAAGCCCTTTGATATGTCCTCCTAATGTGAAAAGGTGCTCAATATCAAATGCAATTTATTAATTATTAATTCAGCACTGGCTGGCTGCTACTCGATGTACTAATGAACTCTCCCAGCGTAAGATTGTGACTTATTCTATTCTTTTCCCCTCTTTGAAGTTGGGTGTAAATCCTAGCAACATCAATTTGGAAGATGTGGGGAAAGACAAGGAAGTGAAGTTGAAGCCCGGACAGACTCTTCACATTGTCAATAAGCTTTACCCGCACATCATTCAGTTTGCTGAAGATACTACAGACCAGGAGGGTTGCTCCCCAAAGAGACCCAGTGATGAACATTCTACAAACAAAACCTCCGACATGCTGAGCAAACTCCTTAAAACTGAAGAATCAAATAGGAGAGAGGAAAGGAGGAAAAGAAGCCCTGAGGATGGCTGTATGAATGAAGACAGCAACAGTTTGGAGACTCCGATTAATCATGCCAGTGTAGCTGAAAAGAAAGGATCGGTAATTGGCTAATCAAATATTATATCTGTTTGACATCCTATATTTGTAATACTGCACTCCCTCCATCCTTCTCTCCCTCCTCCTTATATATAATACAGTAAACCTTACATAAGTCGTATCAGTTGGGACCATACTTTTAATATGACTTATGCAAAGTAAGTTATGTGAAGCTAATAAATAATAGGAAATTCAACGAGACTTGGGCAGATGTACAACTTAGGTGATTATATGATTGAAACATATCAGACACGCATGTTTTATTGTATGTATATGTATACAGTATATATATATGAAACACTGCACATCTTTTATAAGATGAAAGGACCTTGATGACAAAAGCTGAGAGTGACTGATGGAGAAAGGAAGCAATTCATTGAGGGAGGAGATTCTGTTTTTATACAGCTGAATTTTAGATTTAAGGAGCAGCCTGTGGAGAGTGCTATATGTGTCCATTCTTCCCTTTGGCAAATCCTAATGCCAGCAAAATATACATGTAAACCATGGCCATGGTTTGTCTTTCTCTTCTCTCCCATTGCATAGCACAAAAACTTGGTGTATAAATACTACTAATTTTAATAAGTCGTGGCACTGTAAAGAAATATGAAAAATTATCACTAAATGTATCTAGACTTTTAAGTTTAGTACCTCAACCTGACTTCTGCACTTGTTGCTAACTTTGTTCTTTTGGGATTTCCAGGGGCATTGGAGCCAAGCATTAAAAGTTTCCATGCAGGATCCTACAATGCAGGTATGTAGCAACCACATTTTTGCATGTACTAACCACATTTCTGGCTAAATTTGTGAACTAAAATTATCTCAATTTTTGGACCAAATTGCACTATTTGCACCAATCTCATTAGGTGATTATATTTTTGATTATATTACTGAAACAATAATCTTTGAATTTGGTTTAGCCTTTATCACATTGTCGAACTGTCTTCATAGCAATCACTGTAACATGTAATGAATGTGCAAACATGACAGCCAAAGTGTGCAAAGCAGCGTCCCACAAACACTCATAAATCAATGACCAATGACCAATATTATCTGAGGGACTACTGGCCAAGACACCAGGAGAAACTCCCTTCTCTATTTAAATAGTGGCATGTAATCTCTAATGCCCACTTAAGTGGACAGGACACTATGAGAAACTCTTCTTTTTTTGAATAACAACAACATCGGAAAGACGTGATGAGGTGGAGAGATTGTGGGATAGAGTTCCAGAGTGTGAGGGCAGAGATGCTGAATGCCCGACCGCCAATGGTGGGGAGGGACGTATGGGGGACCTGAAGCAGGCCAGTGTCTGCCGAGCGGAGGGAACGGATAGGGTGATATGGCATTAGGAGGTCGGAGAGGTAGGGGGGAGCAAGACCGTGAAGAGCTTTCAAGATGAGAATGAGGGTTTTGTACTCGATTCACTGCAAGATGGGGAGCCAGTGAAGCCGGGCAAGAATAGGGATGATTGGTTTGCGGAGCCTGGTGTGGGAGAGGACATGGGCTGCATTTTTTGAATAATTCCATATCTTATGGGGGACAGAGATGGGAAGTCCAGCGGGCAGGCAGTTGGCATAGTCAAGCCAGGACTTGATGAAAGCGTGGATCAGGGTTTCAGCAGCCTATGGTGAGAGGCAGTGGCCGAGACAGGCAATGTTGTGGACGTGGGGAAAGGCGGAACAGGTCATGGCATGAATGTGTGGTTTGAAGGATAGCTAATGATAATGTCCACCTAATCAGTCTTGCAGGACCTTTGTTTAATGACTCATCATTCTACAATGCAGTGTTCCCCCGCATTGTATTGGGAGTGTCAGACTATGCTAACACATAAGCAAGATGCAACAAATTAGTTACCAACAACTAAACCTATTCCATAGTGAACAAATCTAGATAACCAATTTTTCAGATTATCCCTTAAATTAGAGCCTAAAAATGGAGCTTGAAGAAGACCTTTGGTCATCCAACTTCCCAAAGGAACATCACAGGTTGACAACGTTTCTCAAACTTTTTACTTAAGTTTAAAAAGAGAACATTTAATTTGGGGAAATCAAAGTACGCATTTGGTCTGGGTTAAGAGGTCATGGAGATGGAAGAGATACAGTACATCACAAAGGACTGGGAACAGAAAAAATAATTGAAGGTGGATTGGGCACAGGTGTATGTAACAGGCGCTGTGTTGCTTTGTTTCTCAGCTTGCTGAGGCTGGGAAGGAGCTCGCCGCTGGTTCAAACCTAAGTGGAATTTTTCATGTGACATGTAATTTTCATGTCCACAGCTGTATAAAGATGATAAGGTGGTGGTGATTAAAGATAAGTACCCAAAGGCTCATTACCACTGGCTGGTGTTACCATGGGTCTCTATTCCTAGCTTGAAGGCTGTAAGGAGTGACAACCTATCATTACTTAAACACATGCATCAAGTTGGTGAAAAGATGGTGAGCGAATGCCCTGATTCTGGGAAATTAAAGTTTCGCTTAGGTTATCATGCCATCCCCAGCATGAGGTAAGCAAGTTTATATATTTTTTAAAAGGCAATAATCAGTTGCTTGAGTTCAGCGGTGACATAATTATTTATAAATTGTAGAACAGGCACAGAGTATATCTGCTTGAACATTAGTTTAAATGTGTGAGGTTCCCTCTTGGGCTCTGGCCTAAGATGACAACAACCACTTGTATTTATATAGCACCCATCATCAAGAGGACATGATCTTAAAATTAGAATTTAGGCAGTTAGTTTTCTTAATCTAAACAAGGCTTGTGAATGTGTGAAATTCACTACCCCAAAAGGCCACAGAAATGGAATCTATTGGGATGCTTAAGACGGAGATAGATTAAAAACTTGGCAGTTAGAATAGTAAGGAATGTGAAGAGATGAAATGGGATTGAACGATTGGCATGTTCTTCCTGTCCCCACAGCAGCCTGAGCAAAGACTTTGAACCCACCAAGTGGGTAGTTACAGTGACTGATAAGCCTCTTGCCATTGGTGACATTACCCCTGAAGATTAAAGCATTGAATGAATTTGGTTTAATAGGTTATTGTTTGGGGGATCTCACTCCAATTATAGCCCACAACACACCTGACTTGATTTACATAATAATAATAATAATAATCCTTGCATTTGATATAGCGCTTTTCACGTCTTCTAGATGTCTCAAAGTGCTTCACAGAATATACTATAAAGTGAATTGACTGTATATTTTGCGGGCAAAATGCAGCAGCCAATTACGCAAAGCAGCGTCCCACAAACAGTCGTGGATTGAGTGACCAAATTATTATTGTTTTTTTTTTAAGGTCTATTATCCCCAGAAAAGCGATCCGCCAATCGACTAACAAACGTGTTCCTACTTGATGCTAGGTAAACAAAGGCTTGTGGAGTAAAGAAACTTGTCCAAAATTTCGTCCTGCCAGGAATTGAATCCAGATCTCTCGCTTGCGAGCTGCAGGACTCCCTAACATAGAATGACATGGACTGAATTATAGACTTACAAAAAGAAGCTGGCCATTCAGCCCAACTAGTCTTCTGATGTTTATACTCCATATGAGATGAGGTCATCAAACAAATAACTTAGGACATGCTATATATTATAGTATGTGGATATTTGTTCTCTTGACCAAACACGGCATCTAAATTGTATCTGTGTTGACTCCTTAAGGTGTGCATTTTATTGAAACTAACAGTATGAACTTGCTACACTTGTTATGTACATCTGTTCCAGTGCACATTAGTACATGTGGGGCCACAATACTAACTTTATTCTGTCAGCTGCTTGTCAAATTTGATGCAAGTGTTGACAGGGGTCATTTCTGAGTGTGTATCAGATGCAATTCTGCCATTCCACTCTGAATTTGATTGCATGTGTGATATACCTTCAATTATTTTGGAATCTCTTGAGGTCCATTTTACAACTACATCTTCATTTAATGTGAGGCCTCTGATCTGTTGTTCCCCTGTGTAGAGAGCAGGAAAGCTCTGAGTAATGACAGATGCTAACCTTACTGATCTTTGTGGGTGTTTCTGCTATAATTACCTGTGAGAACAAGAATATGCCCATCTGTGTTTTTTAATAAAAATCCAGGCAATACAAGCTAAATTCGGCGCTACCCTCTGAGGTGCACTAAACTACTCCGTTTATGCCCTATTCAGTCAGCATTATCTGGCTATTAATGGCAGCTATGATTTTGCAGTATACAAATTTTAATTATAATTTGGATTTTTTAAAAAAGTCTCAGTATTACAGTGGTTTGATCTAGATTTTGGATTTGAAACCCAAATAATGTACAGTGCTGTGCTTTGTAGAACTGGTGAGGTGTGTTAATGAGTGTTCATTTACTCTTTTCTCTCTTTCCTTACACCCTCACAAGTCATATTCACCTCCATGTTATCAGCCAAGACTTTGATTCTCCATGCATGAAAAACAAAAAGCATTGGAATTCATTCACAACTGATTATTTCCTGGAATCCCAAGGTAAGAACAACAACCATCTACAGGGATACCAAAGGGACTATGTAATATTAATAATAATCCTTGCATTTGATATAGCGCTTTTCACGTCTTCTCGACGTCACAAAGCGCTTCACAGAATAGTCTATAAAGTGAATTGACCGTATATTTGTGGGCGAAACGTGGCAGCCAATTGCGCACAGCAGTGTCCCACAAACATCATGGATTGAAAATGACCAATTTATTTATTTCTTTTTGGAGGGATTATTATTAGGCGTACACCAGCTGTTGAACAAACACTGTCACTTAAACTTTATACCTTTGAAACCAAATTTATCATCATTACATTATTGCACAATTCTTTTTTTAGTTAATCTTCTTTTATTTGCATGTCATTCTTGCCACTCACAAAGCCTTGCCATTTATTCTTGTGTGCAATGATTAAACCAATTGAGTACTTTTTAAACTATCTTGACAGGTTAATAACAAAAACCTGTTCATTCCCATTTAAACTTCAATAATCAAGCTGAAACTGATGGTATCACCATAGCAGCTACTGCTATTAAATCATATTTGAGTGCCCAGATATTGAAAGATTATTCATGTTAGTTGATAAATTGTGATAAGGGAGCCTAAGATCAAGATTCTCATGGGAAGACAAAATGGTAGACATTCGGTTTTTTTTGTGCTTGAGATTATTATAATAATAATCCTTGCATTTGATATAGTGCCTTATCACGTCATTGTGACTTCTCAAAGCGCTTCACAGAATACATTGTAAAGTGAATTGACTTGTGTATTTTGAGGGCGAATGCGGCAGCCAATTGCACACAGCAGTTTCTCACAAACAGTCATGGCCTGAGTGACAAAATTATTATTATTTATTTATTTTGAAAAGATTATTAGCCCTGGAAAGTGATCCACCAATCGACTAAAAAACGGGTTCCCATTTACTGCTAGGTAAACAGAGGTGCGTGGAGTAAGAAGACTTGCCCAGTCCGGGAATTTAACTAGGGTCCTCTCGCCTGCGAAACGAGTGCTCTAACCAACACCCTACAGGACTCCATTATAATGTAGAATGTCCTTCTGCATACACATTGATTGAAGTTAAGACAACAAAACATTTTAAAAGGAACTGGATAAGTATTTAAAGAAAAATATAACATGGGATAAAGTAGATATAATTTCTGTGCTGTATTCTGAACATAGTTCAGCCTACAGTGAATTAATTTTAGACTTCACATGTAGAATTAATGTCATACTTAACTACTTCATTTGTACAGTTTAGACCCATAGTTCCCACTTTGACTTCACTATTGGCTGTGACGATTCCATCTTAATTAATTTTCTTCAGGTTTTAGCCACTTTATAAGCTGATAACCTTTGCGAGATATTGATCCATGCTTTCTATTTTGACTAGACGTGATTGAGATGGTCGAGCGGGATGGAAAGGTGATCGTCAAGGATGCAACAACTGAATTATTAAAACTGCCTCTTGTATGCCACATCTGCAAACAGCAGCAATCCACAATTCCACAACTGAAAGAGCATTTGAAAAAGCACCTTGGCCACTGAATGAAAGGTTTTCTCACTGCAGTGCTCCTGTCTGCCCATCCATTCCTGCTGTTCATTTATTCAGTGTTCATTATACTGGTTTAATTGGACAATAACGTATGAGATGTACATGCTTTATACTCTTAATTTAGCACAAAGCTTTACCGTGTGTAGGAATTATTACTGTGATGAAATAATTGGTTTGCATTTACAATGAGTCTTAAAAGGATTCCTTTAATAAAGAGATTTGTGTGAATCTAAATACAAGTAATGTGTTTAGAGTTTTTTTTCTCTTCTCAGTTGCATTTGATTTATTTTCCCTTATGCTGAGGTATGAGCCCGCAGCCCCTGATACCCTCTGTCAGATAGGTTATATTTCTATCGTGCTGTTCTTCCAAATGGTTGGAGTTCCACAGTGTGGGGGTAGAGTGGCTAAAGGCCCACCCGCCAATGGTGGGGTGGGCAAGGCTGGGATGTGAAGCAGGCCGGAGCCCGCTGACCAGAGGTAGCGGACAGCTTAGGGGGTTAGGAGGTCGCAGAGGTAGGGGGAGCAAGGCCATGAGGGCTTTGAAAGTGAGGACCAGGATCCCTATTCACATTGATGCTAAAGATCCCATGGTACTATTCAAAAAAAGGGAGATTCTTCCAGTGAGACATCTGACAATCCCCCAGATTAAAATTGGTCATTGACTTTATGGACAATACTGTGCACCAATTGGCTACTTTAGAAGATTATTTGGGAGGACTCTTAGGCAGATGTTGGGACACCTGGTTTGGTTAGGTAAATAAGAGCAAAGGAGTGGGGAGGAAGAAATGACAGGGTGAAAACTGCCAGAGACCAGCTGGAGACAGAAAATTGGAGGAAAAGCAAGGTCTGTTCTCATTAACCAATTCTAAAAGAAACCAAGCACTCGTTTGATCGTATCTGGGACCTCACACCTGTTTGGGGATTAGAAATGCGGTGGAATTACTTTGCGGGGGGATGCAGGGCTGTGTCCTACTCCGATTCTAAAACAACCAAAACACAACACAGACTTATCTTGAAAGAACTGGGACCTCACTGGGACCCCATTTGGGATGATGGGAATGACTGGGTGAAGACTGCCTGAGACCAGCTGGAGACAGAATATTGGAGGAGGAAAAGCAAGTCCTTATTCCTAACCAGTGTCAGATTCCCAATTCTAAAAGAACTCAAAACACTTGTCTGGAATCATCTGGGACCTCAGCCCCATTGGGAATTGGAGATGCAATGGGATTGCTCTGCGGGGAGGTTAGACCCCCCCTCCCTCCACCTCCCGGGTATCTAACTCCGATCCTAAAAGAATCCAAACGCAACAAACACTTGTCATGGAGGTCTAAGGACCTCAGGCGCAGTTGGGGCGCTGTAAATACCTGGGGTGGGTGTTACCCTGGGAGTGGTATTGGTGTGTGTGTGTGGGGGGGGTGAGCAGGTGCTGTGCTGTGTGCAGTGTGGAGGGGGCTGTGCTGTGTGCAGTGTGGGGGGGCAGCTGTGCTGTGTGCAGTGTGGGGCTGTGCAGTGTGGGGGGGGGGGCTGTGCTATGTGCTGTGTGGGGGGGTCTGTGCAGTGTGGGGGTGTGTGGGGGGGGCTGTGCTGTGTTGGGGGGGCTGTGCAGTGTGGGGGTGTGTGGGGGGGGCTGTGCTGTGTTGGGGGGGCTGTGCAGTGTGGGGGTGTGTGGGGGGGGCTGTGCTGTGTTGGGGGGGCTGTGCAGTGTGGGGTGGGTGGGCTGTGCAGTGTGGGTGTGGGGGGGGGGCAGTGTGTGTGTGTGGGGGGGGGGCTGTGTGTGTGGGGGCAGTGTGGGGGGGGTGGGGGGGGCAGTGTGTGTGTGGGGGGGCAGTGTGGGGGGGGCTGTGCAGTGTGTGTGTGTGGGGGGGGCAGTGTGGGGGGGGGGGCTGTGTGTGTGTGTGGGGGGCAGTGTGTGGGGGGCAGTGGGGGGCTGTGTGTGGGGGGGCAGTGTGTGTGTGTGGGGGGGGGCAGTGTGGGGGGTGGGGGGGGCAGTGTGTGTGTGGGGGGGGCAGTGTGGGGGGGGCTGTGCAGTGTGTGTGTGTGTGGGGGGGGCAGTGTGGGGGGGGGGGCTGTGTGTGTGTGTGGGGGGCAGTGTGTGGGGGCAGTGGGGGCTGTGTGGGGGGGGGCAGTGTGTGGGGGGGGGCAGTGTGGGGGGGCTGTGCAGTGTGTGTGTGTGGGGGGGGGCAGTGTGGGGGGGGGGCTGTGCAGTGTGTGGGGGGGCAGTGTGTGTGGGGGGGGGCTGTGCAGTGTGGTGGGGTGGGGGCAGTGTGTGGGGGGCTGTGCAGTGTGGGGGGGGCAGTGTGGGGGTGGGGGGGCACTGGCTGATCGCCGCTGGTCTCGGGGTTGGGGTGAAGCGGCGGCTGAACAGAAGGGGCCGCGATGACTGGACAATGGGGACCTGTTGACGCCCATAGTAACAGCGGCGTCTCAGCCCCGACCTCAGCCACAGCCACAGCCCTCCAGCACAGCCCTCCAGCACCAGCTCAGCCCTCCAGCACAGCCCTCCAGCACCAGCTCAGCCCTCCAGCACAGCCCCAGCCCAGCCCAAGCTCAGCACACCAGCTCAGCCCAGCCCAGCCCCAGCCCAGCACAGCCAGCACAGCCAGCACACCAGCCCAGCCCAGCACACCAGCCCAGCCCAAGCTCAGCACACCAGCCAGCACACCCAGCCCCAGCTCAGCACACCAGCACAGCCCCAGCCCAGCCCAAGCTCAGCACACCAGCCCAGCCCAGCACACCAGCCCAGCACAGCCAGCACACCAGCCCCAGCTCAGCACACCAGCACAGCCCCAGCCCAGCCCAAGCTCAGCACACCAGCTCAGCCCAGCCCAGCACAGCCAGCACACCAGCCCAGCCCAGCACACCAGCTCAGCCCAGCACACCAGCCCAGCACACCAGCCCAGCCCAGCACACCAGCTCAGCCCAGCACACCAGCCCAGCCCCAGCACACCAGCTCAGCCCACCAGCACAGCCAGCACACCAGCCCCAGCTCAGCACACCAGCACAGCCCCAGCCCAGCCCAAGCTCAACACACCAGCTCAGCCCAGCCCAGCACAGCCAGCACACCAGCCCAGCCCAGCACACCAGCTCAGCCCAGCACACCAGCACAGCCCCAGCACAGCCAGCACACCAGCCCAGCCCAGCCCCAGCTCAGCACACCAGCCCAGCCCAGCACAGCACAGCACAGCCAGTGCCATCCAAACAACCCACAGCGGCTTCTGGAGAGAGGGACACCCCCACCCCACACACACCCCACAGCCAACCCCCCCCTTTCCCCCCTCGTAAAACCTACATCAAAAGGAAGTATGAAGTCATCAAACTGCATCTGCAAAAAATCCTTATTGCCCGTGTCCACAGTCATCTCCAGAAGGAATCCCTCCAACACTGTGCAGTTGGTGAAATCGGAGCCCAGAATGGGCGGCAAACAGTCCTCGTCGCTGTCTGTGCACAGTCATCTCAACGGGTCGGACAGGGTGGTGAAGGAGATCCGGGCCCTGATGATCGACCTGGGCACCGGCTACTTCAAGGCAGGCTACGCCGGCTACCCCAAGCCCTCCGTGAGCATCTGCTCCACGCTGGGCAGACCTGTGCAGCGCAGCGCCAAGACCGGGGACAACCGCAAGGAGAACTACGTGGGTGAGGAGCAGAGAGGCCAGCTTGCCCTGAGGATGGTCAACCCACTCAGGAGGGGTGTGGTGGTGGACTGGGAGGGCACCGAGGCCGTCCTCGATTACATCTTCAGCAAGAAGCTCAGGCTGCACCCAGAGGAGCACGCAGTGATGGTAGCCGATCCTCCGCTCGGGCCCATCACCAACAGGGAGAAGACCGCTGAGATGTTCTTCGAGACCTTCAGCACGCCTGCCCTGCACATCGCCAGCCAGTCCGTCCTTTCCATCTATGCCTATGGGCGCACCACAGGGCTGGTGGTGGAGAGCGGCCACGGCTCCTCCTTCCTGGTGCCCATCTACGAGGGCTACATCATGCCCCACATCACGAGCACCACCGACTACGGAGGAGCCGACCTGACCAGGTACCTGACCAGGCTCATGAACGAGAACGGCCACAAGCTGACGGCTTGCGACTTCCAGGTGGTGGAGGACATCAAGCAGAAGTGCTGCTATACGGCCGCGGACTTCGAGGTCGAGATGCGCTGCGAGGGCAAGGAAGGGGTCGTGAGTTACGAGCTGCCCGATGGCAAGCTGATCAACATAGGCAAGGAGAGGATCAAGTGCTCAGAGGCTCTCTTCAACCCCTCCTTGATGGGCTCCAAAGAAATGGGCTTGCACACCATGGCCATCAACGCAATCAACAAGTGTGATAGCACCATCCTGGAGGATATGTTCAAGAACATTTTGCTCTGTGGTGGCAGCACCATGTTCAGTGGCTTCCCTGTCCGTTTCCAGAAGGAAGTGAGGAAGTTGGCACAAGACATGGCTCCACATGTCCACGCCATCCCCGAGAGGAAATACTCAGTCTGGTATGGAGGCTCCATCCTGGCTTGTCTTAAATCCTTCCAGCAACTCTGGGTTCGCAAGAAAGATTATGACGAGCGTGGACCGATGGTTATCTATCGCAAATGTTTTTGAGACAGAGACTTTTTTTAAATATAAGAACAATTTCAACTTGTTGCCAATTTAACCTTTTTATAATTTCCATCTTTGAATGTAATTTATTTTTCTCAGGGGGTAATTGGAAGGGTGGGGGGAAGTTTAATTGGGTTGAAAACCAGGTTTGAAACTATGGAATTGTAATAAAATTTTGCAAATTTGTGATTCCTGAAATCCATGCGATCATCTGTATTCAAATCTGGTTAAGAATGAGGGAGCCGAGAGATCCCATAGAATTCCAGCAAGGCTGATTTTTGCTGGCTTTGTGGCATTTTTGCTGAGGGAGCCCAGACTGCAAATATATATTTGAATTTGTGACTTGCCAGAAATGACATACGTTGGTCCAATCCGGATTATGTTCAAAGCAACAGGAGAACTGGTACTTCCCCACTTTCAATGCAAAAGTTAGAATTTTCCTCTGGTGCCATTTGAAGCTGGTTTGAATACTGAGAGTTGCTGTTTGGACTACCTTTCGTGGGTTTTTCTGTTCCAAGTTTTTCGAAAAAATGTGTTGTGGTCTTTCTTTGCTCTTGTTCACTTTGTATGTGCTCTGAGAAAATCGTAAATAAAGATTATTTTTAAAAATTAAATGGGACGAAAAGGTGCCTCCTTGAATAAATCCACCGCATGGTGTAGACTGGACCATACAGACTGGGAGAGTCCTAGCTGATCTCTGGTCTGTGCTGAGTTAGCTGATCTCATCTGGGGTCAGGGATGCAACAAGTGGCCTTAGTGTTGCCGGCTAGTATTGAAGGGAAAAATTGGAGCCAAGGCTCATGCTCCTGATCAGTACTCAGAGAGCCCTGGTGGAAGTGAAGGTGTGGTGACACCAGGTAAGGATACGATCCACTCAAAAGCACTTCACAGGATTTACTGTAAATTTCCGCACAGCAATATTCCACAAACAGCCATTAATTGTTGGCCAGAAAACTGGGAGAAACTCCCTTCAAATAGTGCCATGGGATTTTTAATGTCCACCTGAACAGGTAGGCAGGGCCTCGGTTTAACTTCTCATCTGAAGGACGGCACCTTCGGCAATGCAGCATTCCCCCAGCATTTTATTAGAATGTCAGCTTAAGACTATATGAGTTCCAAGTCCCGACATGACTCAGAGGTAGAAGTGCTACCAACTGAGCCAGTGAGATCAAAAAACATTTCTTCATAGAAACAGTAGGAAAATGTTTTAATTTTTTCCCCAGAATGCTACATGGGCAGAATCAATTAGAATGTTTAAAAGGGAGATGGCTAGATACGTGGGAAATGTGGATATTAAAGGATATGGAAATAACCAGGGAAATAGGATTGGAAGAATTGATATGATCTAATAAACTGGCAGAAAAGGTTTGATGGGCTAAATGGCTTCTTCCAAATCTTGTGATCTGCTAGTATGTATGGTGCAGCATCATTGTAATTGACACTTTTACTCAGTAAAACATTAAGGTGCAAAAAAACAATTATCCTATGTCCTACTTTCATTTATTGACTGCCTCTAGGTCATATCAGGTGATATGGCATTGCAGACACCCTGACCTGGCTCTATACCATTGTTACTGTATAATTAGGGTTGTCATAATTTGCAAAATTAAACATGGGCAGAGCCAGGATACAGCTGCTATCCATTTCTTTCATGATGAAAATTGATTCCTTTGTAACCATCATAAGTGAGTAAAATGAACTTCATTTTACAGACAACTCTTAGTGTTCATTTTGACATTTCCCTCAAACTGGATTGTCCAGTGCAAAACCACATACGGTGGCTGGTAACTCAATGTATAACAGGGTAATGTGTAAATGTGTCCTGATCTGAGCCAACTTCTCGTTTCCTCTCCTTTTTTTGTGCAGAGAATTTTCATTTTGTGCATCTTCCCCCCGATCTGAGACAATAAATCCTTCACAATGCACACATATGTGAAAAAAAAAAGACTACCAATTTTATCCCATCCCATCTCAATGTATTTGGCTTCTTTAACCTTCTACTGGGTACGGTTCCATGGGTGCTGGTTATCTGATACTTTAAGCATGTGTGAGCATTAGCAGTGAGTATTGGGAGGCTATCAGACTAGCGTGACTTAACATTATATAGGTCACAGACACAGGAGTTTCCATAATCTATACTGAGACTGCATATCTTACCTGATATGAATTATCCGAAAATCGGTCAGTAGTTTTACCTGCTTGCTCCCCAACCCACTACCCACCATTGGTGGCAGCTACACCAAGAAACTCTGGAACCCTCTTCCTCTATCCCTCCACCTTGCTCCTTCCTTCCCCATCTTCAGGTTGTGCCTGAAGATCTTCCTCTTCGACTGTGCTTCCAGTTACCTCCCTCCGGCTTGGCATCTTGCTCCGCCACTATTAAGCGCTCTGGGACGCTATACTGTGCGAGGGGTGCTATATGAATACAAGTTGTTGTTAAGCACAGTAAGGTCTCCACATGTGTTAGACTCTTGTCTGACCATATACAAGATAGAGTTTTCCAAACTTGGGTACTTTAGTACAGTAGTAGTTTGGTAATCAGCTAGAGCTCACTTATTATAATAATAACAATCCTTGCATTTGATATAGCACCTTATATAATTGAGACGTCTCAAAGCGCTTCACAGGATATACTGTAAAGTGAATTCACTGTATATTTATCCCATTTGCCTACAAATAAAGTCACTATACTGGACAGCAATTCTCTGTGAAACATATTGAGATGCTGCAACATTTTAAGCACTCGCAAATGCAATAATTATTATTTATTATTAAAACCTTTGCATTTGACAGGAGGATAAACAAGATAAACACCCTAAACTGTCCTCACTTGACACCTACACATGAACATTTTCCAACAGGGGCCAGAGTAATAATAATAATTATTATTAATAATAATAATCCTTGAATTGCATTGTAAAGATGTTTCACAGCACTTCACAGAATATACTGTAAAGTAAATTGACCTCATAGCAACAACAACTTGCTCTTATATAGCGCCTTCCAGGCAGTGCAGTGTCTCAGAGTGCTTAACAATGGTGGAGACTGTCTCCGAGCTGGGGGAGGTGGTGGGGGGCAGGGGGATGGGGGGGGAGGTGATCATAAGCACGGTCGAAAAGGCAGGTTTTCAGACGGGACTTGAAAAAGGAAAGAGCGACGGCAAGGCGGAGGGATTGAGAGAGAGTGTTCCAGAGTTTGGGGGCACAGTGGCTAAAAGCGCAACTTCCTGTGGTGGAGCGGAGGGCACGAGGGACAAGCAGAAGGTCGGTGCCAGTCTAGCGGAGATGCCGAATGGTGGATTGGGGAGTGAGGAGGTTGGAGAGGTAGGGAGTGAAGGGATTTGAACACGAGTGTGAGGATCTTGTAGTCAAAGTATAATATAATATATAATTGATGGTTTAATACATAATACAAAAAATATTATACTTTATATATTATACTGTGTAACATATACTATATATCATACATTGTACTGTATAATATATAGTTGACTGTATAATATATTGGTTTGACTGTATAAAGTATTGGATCAAAGTATTGGATCAGGAACAAAAACCCTGGTTATTTTTCCCTCTGTGACCAGATGCACTGAAGCCAATGATTGAAATATCCTCAGGACTGCCCCATCTGAAATCTTTTCCTGTTGAGTCACAGAAGAGAGCCTCATTGGAAAGCATTTAAATGTTAATGTGACCTGGACAATTTCAGTCAAAATCCAGTCAGAAGCTGGGCCGGGGGAAGGAGCATAGGCCCTGTTGAACAGAAAGGTTTTCAGTCGTGATCTAAAAGAAGGGAAGGAGGGGGCAATGCAGAAGGATTGGGTGAAGAGAGTTCCAATGCTTTGGTGTTTAGTGGCTGCCAATGGTGGAGCAGAAGGGATGAAGGACAAGCAGAAGGCCAGAGCCAGCCAAACGGAGGCAGTGGGTTGGGGAGAAAGCAAGTCAGAAAGGTAGGGAGGTGCCAGGGTGTGAAGGGAATTTGTAGATGAGTAAGAGGATCTTGATATTGATCTGTTCTGTGATAGGGAGCCAGTGGAGCCTGGCGAAGACTGGTGTGATGGGGGTATGGAGTTTAGTGTGGGTGAGGATACAGGCGGTGGAGTTCTGAATCAGTTTTAGTTTGATATATCTCCAATAGACCTCTTCCATCCCCTATGTTTCTCAGACTTAAAGCAGAATCCAAGCATCCTGAAGAAACCTCCACAATGTAGTGAAAACAAGAAATAGGTGGAAATGCAATTCACCCATCGAGATATATTTTTCACATATATAAGTATACCATATGTATTCGTTTAAAGAGGAGAGATGTTGCATCATCTCTCCTTAAAGCTGGTGCCCCTCACCAGCATCATTGCACGTGTCATGAAGGAGCCTGGTTGGTACAAACATCTGAGATGACATCGCAATAGGCTGGGTCTTGTCGCCCTGGTGACAACGAATGAGCTACAAAAGGGTTATCTTTACAGGACAACTTGGTTACTATCCCACAACTGGCTGGAGGGTGGAGTGCGACCTGCGCTAGTGGAGAGGAACCAAACCAAAACTAAAACCAGACCAAAATGGTTACAAAGCCAACCACCCATTTGGCCAAGAAGGCGGGCACTCCGCCCGCCTCCACCAAAGCACAGAAATCCACTTCCAAACTGTCCCAGAGCGTGAAGTCCGACAGTAAAGTGGATGCCAAACCCGGGAGGCTGGTCAAAGAGATCAGATCAGTGATGATTGACCTGGGGACGGGTTACTGCAAAGCAGGTTTCGCGGGGCAGCCTAGACCTTCCCTGATCATGTCCTCAGTGGTGGGTAGACCCACTCAGCGCAGTGCCAAGACAGGGGACAACCGGCAGGAGAACTACGTGGGGGAAGAGCTGAGCAACTCAGAGCCCAACCTCAAGCTGGTCAACCCACTGAGGCATGGGATCGTAGTGGACTGGGAGGGGGTAGAGGCCATCTGGTCTTACATCTTCCAGAAGGGGATGAAGATCCTGCCAGAGGAGCATGCTGTGATGGTGGCAGACCCTCCCCTCAGCCCCACCACCAACAGGGAGAAGATGGCAGAGTTATTGTTTGAGACCTTCAGCACCCCAGCCATGCACATTGCCTACCAGTCCATTCTGTCACTCTACTCATACGGGAGGACCACAGGGTTGGTGGTGGAGAGCGGGCACGGGGTGACCCATGTGGTGCCAGTCCATGAAGGATACAACATGCCCCACGTGACAGGCAGAGCTGACTACAGCGGCTCAGACCTTAACGAATACCTGATGAAGCTGCTGAACGAGCAGGGCAACAAGTTCACTGAGAAAGGGCTGCACATCGTGGAAGACATCAAGAAGAAATGTTGCTACACAGCCATTAACTTCGAGCAGGACATGAATCTGGATGTCAATGAGTACTTGGTGGAGTATGAGCTCCCTGATGGGCATGTCATTGCAATAGGGAAGGAGAGGTTCAGATGCCCAGAGGCTCTCTTCAACCCATCCCTCATTGGATCCAAGGAACCAGGGATCCATTCATTGGCTCTGCACAGCCTGGACATGTGTGACAGCAACCTCAAGTACGACATGTACAGCAACATCCTGCTCTGTGGAGGCTCCACCATGTTCGAAGGCTTCTCAGATCGTCTGCAGAAGGAAATGAACAAGATGGAGAGAGGGATGAACCCCATCGTGCACTCCATCCCCGAGAGAAAGTACTCGGTGTGGCTTGGGGGGTCTATCATGGCTTCCCTCAAGTCCTTCCAGCAGCTTTGGGTTCGCAAAAGGGATTACGATGAGCGTGGGCCTTTTGTTATTTATCGCAAATGTTTCTGAGACCAATGATTCAGACAGTACTGTATCCCCCCCCCCACCGGCCCCTTCCGATCTTTTAATACTCGAAGTTTTTTTTTGTCTTTTAAGGATGTCACTCACTTAACTTTATCATAGTGATTTCCACCAAGGGTCAGATTATACTGACTTGCATAATAAAGCCTTTGACAAATAATTGCCGCCATGCCTGCTTCCTAAAATGCATGCTCACAACTTTTAAAATTAATAATCCTTGCATTTGATATAGCACCTTTGATGCGAGCGTGCTTTTTAAAATGAATGCAAATGACACTATATTTTCATGTTTTTCATTTATAAACAGTTTTTCCAGTTTTTATTGAAAACATCAGGATTCAGCACAATATAAACACTATAATCGCCCTCAGGCGTGAAAGGCGCTATATAAATGCAAGTTGTTGTTGCGGTGTGCAAATTGTCTGTCACTGTGTGTCACAGAAATGTTGTGAAATACTGAGATTATATATGCACTATTTCAAATGCAAGAATTATTATATAGCTGTAAACTATTGGTCTCACCTGCTTTTCCAGCCTTATAATGTCATCTGAACCCCTCAATTGTGACATCCTTATAGTTTATAAGGATAAACTCCCCTATCAGTGGAAATAGCTTTCTCTATTTACCCTGTCAAAACTCTTGTTACTATGAGGTAAATTTACAAAATTTCTCATTGACCCTGAAGGCAATTGAAGAATCCAGGGTACTACACGGAGTATAATATTGGTGTCAGTACTCCATAGGGTATTTAATTTTATTACTTTCTTCAACCAACTCTAGGGTGGCTTTCAAAACCAGACTTGTTGATTTTGAAGGAGACAGGAAAGAGTGTCAGAATACCCTCTTAGCCAATCCTTATGTATGGGTTGACTTTTCTTTGGTCAACCAGGTTTCTGATCCATTACCATACTTAAGAAGATCCAAACCAAGCTGAGATTTCCATGCATCCTACTTACACATGGAAATTCCAGAGATAGATTGTTGGAAGGGGATGCACTTTCTCCCTGGAGGTGCACATCCTCTGGAACTATCAGGTGCAGGATGGCAAGAGCCAAGGCTTGGGGACCCCAGAGTGTGTGTGGGGTGCTGCTGGAATCCATCCAGCTAAAACCGTATAGCTTGCTATTGACAGCTCTGTATGCTTTCCTTTTTGCTTGACTAGCAATGAACACCCAACTCATTCATTACAGCTTTGGCTTGCAGGGTTAATAGGAGCTGAGTGGGAAAAATCTCTGACCAGTGATTGGTTTGTCCTTCCAGGTTCTGCCGATGAGCAAGGATGGCTGTGCTGTCATCAGCAGTGCCTTGGAATACTGTGTGGCTCAGGAAACAGTTGAACAAAGCACATGTCTAAAGCAAAAGAGGTGGATAAACAGTTTGTATTGCCAAGTTTAATACATTTATTATTACTATACCAAATGTATAGTGACACTACACTATACATTTGGTGTAGTGTCATTCACGTTGTCTCAATGCACTTCACAGTGAAGTGGAGAGACTGTTTTGTGGATGGTCCTAGGTTTATGTAGGTTTAATGAGTGAAACATGATTTAACCACATCTACAGCTTTTATGTCCTTCACTTCTTAAGCTCATTAAAAGACATTATTTTACTATTATTAATCTATGTAGTGATTCAATACATGGAGATGTGTAATGCAATATTTTATTTTAAATATATATTACAAATAAAGGCACTGGGCCATAGCATTTATAACCAGATGTACACTTAAAAATGGCAGCAAACTCCAAAATATCAGTCATAATTTATAGAAGATAAAAAGGTTGAGTGGCAGAACAATTATCAAAACAAGATTCACAAAGGTTTTATCATTGCTTTAAAAATGCACATTTAATACCTTCACCTCATAATGACTATAATATATATCTCCCAGTGCCTTCGCCTTGCCTCCTCCCTTTCCTCCTTCAAGGCCGGTCTCAAGACCTCTCTCTTTGACCGTGCCTTCAGCTCCCCTCTCGACTCTCTACCCCCTCCTCGCTCCCTCCCTCCCCTCACCCTGACCATTTCCCCTCTGCTCGGGTCCTGACCCAACTGTACAGCACCTTGGGACGTCCTCCTGACGTGAAAGGCGCTCTATAAATGGAATCTTTTGTTGTTGTTGTATTTGATATAGCGCTTTTCAGAGTCTTCTAGATGTCTCAAAGTGCTTCACAGAATATACTGGAAAGTGTATTGATTGTATATTTTGAGGGAGAAATGTGGCAGCCAACTGCGCACAACAGTATCTCACAAACAGTCGTGGATTGAGTGACCAAATTTTTTTTAAGGATTAATATCCCTGGAAAAGTGATCTGCCAATTGAGTAACAACCAGGTTGGCTCTTGAACTCAGGTTCCAATTAAAACCCATGCTCTGAGAGGCTGAAATTTCAGTGAATAGCTTTGCAGTTTGCACTATGGGAAAAGAATGACGTGTTGGAGCCTTTAGTGGAGCAGTAGGATCTAGATAGAGAAATATCTCTACTCAGTGCCCAGGGTTAAGTGAAAGACAAGGGTTTTCATGATGATGTATTATGAGGCAGTTTCAATTTTTCTTTTGTTGCTGTGAACTAGGGATGTTTTTTTCCCTCCCCCCTCCCACACCAAATAAATCCATTACATTATTTTACCAGTAATAGATTTTGTCAGTGTGCGAGGCAATGAACGGTCTCTGTGACAAATGCATTTCAAGGCTGCATGCTTGGATAATTATCCCAGTTCACATAGGGAAGAAATCAATTCCTTTCCTTTGGTATTGGTATTCAAAGATGTACATCTATTCAGTTTTTCACTGGGACATGCAATCATGGAGAATTCCTTGGATATGAACAGGAGGCACGAAACAAAGTATTTGTGAAAAGATGAGTGCTTTACAAGAAATCATGTTTTGCACCATCTTCAAGAAATTTACCATAATGGTTATATTCCTCCAACTGTCCGCAACAAACCACTAGCGTGCTTGTTTATTAACAACAACAAAATTACATTTATTGAGCGCCTTTCACGTCAAGAGGTCATCCCAAAGCGGTGAAACCTAAATTATTAAATTATTATTTATTAAACTTAAAGTCATTGATTAATCATGATGGCGTGCTTATGTAAACACTCTTACACTAGGTGCCAAAGATCCCACTGTGGCAGCAGCAATGGCCAGTCAATGTGGTCCTGCCCCCTCCTTTCTTTGATTCCTCTGTGCTTTCAGCAATGGGACCAGTATAGTAATAAATAATGCTACTCATTGGCCTTGCTTTCCTCTACTGCACAACACTTAGCTTCCACGTCACATTCTTGTTGAGCTTTGGAGGCATGAGAAATTCATCTGGAGAGAGCAAGAGAGAACAAAAATGGTAGACATTCATTTATCTGTTGCCCAGTATTATAGAACTGGCTGAACAGTCACCAATAACAGTTTTAAAGCAATCTCCCATATTTGTTACTTAATTTCCTGCTTAAAATTAGCTGCAGAGTCTGTGGGAAAGGATATTAAGCATCCTTTCATTTATTCTTAATTATGTTTATTGGTAAACAGTAAATGTTTACAGCAGCAAAGGAACTAGTCGGGATGAGCTGCTGTGCGGCGACCAGCTAAAAGAATACACAACAGAGTCAGAGACTTTCTTGATCTGAATGACTCAATATCACAAGAAGTGGTTCAGTTATTTGCTAAGCCATCAAGGACATTTACATTCTTTGGAATGGTTTGATGCTGAAGAGGGCTGTTGATGGCTTTAATGTAATATTTAAAAAAGGACATACTTGCCCTAGAAGGGGTGCAGCGTAGATTCACTTGGTTAGTTCCTGGGATGAGGGGACTGACCTATGAGGATAGGCTGAATAAACTAGGTCTGTATTCTCTAGAGTACAGAAGAATTAGGGGAGATCTTATTGAAACATAAGATTTTTAAAGGGCTAGATTAAGTAGACACTGAGGGTCTGTTTCCCCTGGTAGGAGAATCTATAACCAGGGGTCACATCTTAAAATTACGGGTCATCCTTTTAGAACAGAGTTGAAGAAACATTTCTTCACTCAGAGGGTAGTGAATTTATGGAACTGACTACCCCAGAAGGCTGTAGATGCCCAGTCCTTGAACATCTTCAAGGCTGAGACTGATAGATTTTTAAAAAATAGAGCGATTAGGGGATATGGGGATAGGGCAGGTAATTAGAATTGGGTCAGAAGATCAGCCATGATCTTATCGAATGGAGGGGCAGGCTTGAGGGGCCGAATGGCCTACTTCTGCTCCTAATTCTTATGTTTTTATGTTCTTATTATGGCTCTGTGATTTTTCATGCAAGTAAACGCTTGATTTGATCACAACTACAGAAAAATCTACCTTTAAGCATTTAATCAGATACACAGTAACACCACTTGCAATACTGATAGGAACCATCTCAAAAAATGTATAACAAGCTCTTGGGAGGCAGTTACATTACTTCAGAATTATGCGTGAATCCTGGACAGAATCCAGCTTTCTGTGCGCCAATTTTTCTCTCCTCTCCATGTCTATTTGTAAAGGCTTTTTTGCATGTGTAAGAACTATCTTATTTAGGACATGAACCATGGGGACAAAATAGATTTACACCTTCAGTTTGTGTTGAATGACTGAGATTTATGGTCTCAGCCATTCCCTTCCACCTGCAGGGTAAAATAACCCTTGTGCACCACTCACTCCACAAGTTGCTTCCCACTGACCTGGATGAGGAGTAACTCCACTTCTCGGCAGCTGGAATGAAGCAGTAATACTGTTTGCTGTAGAATTGGGGCCAAGAACCTGAGACAAGCAAAATAAAAATTAAATCCTTAAAATTGGTCTGCAACCACTCAAACCATGTTTCTACAGCATATCGATAAAACACATTAGAAACACTGCGCTACATTTAATAGAATAGACAAGTCCTTTGTACGCTATTTTTTAATTCTATTTTTTTAAAAAAAAGCTCCTTAAGACAAAGAATGATTGCTGCTTTTCCTCTTCCTCACTGTGGGG